AGGCTCACAAACCCCCCCAGTCGGATTCCCAGTGAGCTACTCTCTGTAAGCAAATGTAATGAATTTGCTAATTTCTTTACTGATAAAATCAATAATATCAGAAAGGCAATCAGCTCATCCAATCAGCCAAGTTGTGTCGATATCAAACAAACTCAACCACAACTTGAGAAGTCAGACATTATGTCTGATTTCATGGCAATTAACGGTAAAATCTTAGAAGAGATGGTGCAAATTATAAAAACATCAACCTGCAGTCTTGACACGCTCCCCACATCATTCTTCAAAACGGTGTTTACCTGTTTAGAAATGGATCTCCTAAAAGTGGTAAATGCTTCACTTCTATCAGGGATTTTTCCAAACTCACTTAAAACTGCAGTTGTTAAACCCCTCTTGAAGAAGAGCAATCTGGATAACACCCTATTGAACAATTACAGGCCAATCTCAAATCTCCCTTTCATTGGCAAAATCATTGAAAAAGTTGTTTTTAACCAGGTTAACAAGTTCTTAAACTTCAGGGGGTGTTTAGACAATTTTCAATCTGGTTTCAGAGCACATCACAGTACAGAGAGCGCTCTTATAAAGATAATCAATGATATACGTCTAAACACAGATTCAGGTAAAATAACAGTGCTGGTATTGTTGGATCTTAGTGCTGCATTTGACACTGTCGATCACAGCATACTTCTGGATAGGCTGGAAAACTGGGTTGGGCTGTCTGGGACAGTCCTCAAATGGTTCAGATCTTACCTTGAAGGGAGAGGTTACTATGTCAGTATAGGTGATCATAGGTCGAGGTGGACACCCATGACATGTGGAGTCCCACAAGGCTCGATTCTGGCACCTCTCCTGTTCAACCTTTACATGCTCCCTCTGAGCCAAATAATGAGAAAGAATCAAATCTCCTACCACAGCTATGCTGATGACACTCAGATCTACCTAGCCTTAGTGCCTAATGACTACAGCCCCATTGACACCCTCTGCCAATGTATTGATGAAATTAAAAATTGGATGTGCCAAAACTTTCTTCAGTTAAACAAAGAGAAAACTGAAGTCATTGCGTTTGGGAACAGAGATGAGGTTCTCAAGGTGAATGCGTACCTTGGCTCTAAAGGTCAAACGACAAAAAATAAGGTCAAGAATCTTGGTGTGACGCTGGAGTCAGATCTGAGTTTCAACAGTCATGTCAAAGCAGTCAGTAAATCAGCATACTATCATCTCAAAAACATAGCAAGAATCAGATGCTTTGTTTCTAGTGAAGACTTAGAGAAACTTGTTCATGCTTTTATCAGCAGCAGGGTGGATTACTGTAATGGACTCCTCACTGGTCTTCCCAAAAAGACAGTCAGACAGTTGCAGCTCATCCAGAATGCTGCAGCCAGAATTCTGACCAGAAGCAGAAAATCAGAGCACATCACACCTGTCCTCAGGTCTCTACACTGGCTGCCAGTTACATTCAGAATAGATTTTAAAGTATTATTACTGGTCTATAAATCACTAAATGGCCAAGGACCTCAATACATTACAGATATGCTCACTGAATACAAACCTAACAGATCACTCAGATCTTTAGGATCATATAAACTAGAAGTTCCAAGAGTTCAGTCTAAGCAGGGTGAATCTGCCTTCAGCCACTACGCCCCTTGCTGCTGGAATCAGCTTCCAGAAATGATCAGATGTGCTCCAACATTAGGCACATTCAAATCAAGACTGAAAACACATCTGTTTAGCTGTGCCTTTACTGAATGAGCACTGTGCTGCGTCCGACAGATCGCACTATTATGTTTTTCGTTTTCTTTTTCATTCTTTTATAACCTATTTTAACTCATTTTAATTTGTTTTTATCTGTTTTTAATATTTTTTATTGTCTGCATTTTATTTTCCTAAACTTGTCTTTTTTATTCCTGTTTATGTAAAGCACTTTGAATTGCCACTGTGTATGAAATGTGCTATATAAATAAACTTGCCTTGCCTTGCCTGGTGACGCAATGACATAATTGAATTATGTGCTATAAAATGTAAAATGGGATTATGAAACGAACTTTCAAAAGCAACTCATACACCTTAATCATGTTATTGTCTTATTAACATTATTGCAAATAATAAGGCAATAATGTCCATGTAAATGTCTTACTCCCCTGCTTATGTGTTTGTTTTGCCTCTGTGAAAATCAGTGCAAGCACATACTGAAACTCCCCTTTTCATGCAAACTCTTCCCTCTTTTGCCATTTAACACCCTTTTTGCCATTGAACACTCTTTTGCCATTTAACTATAACCACCTAGACAAAGCTGGACTTTCCTGATTATTTTCAAACCAGAGCTGTAAAAACAGCCTGCAGGGACAGGAGGGTATCATAGCCCTTCAAAGAATTTTTAACCAAATCATTTTTAAAAGTTTTTTTTTTCTTTTTGGCCATCCAATGCCAAATCCGGCCAATCTGCAATGGAGGCTATGTAAAACATTTAGGGCCCAATCATACACTCGTGCCAATAAACTCTAACTTTCACAATGTTGTATCAATAGCAAGTCCATTTGCACCACTTTGTGGACTCATGGGTGTACTGCTCTAAAAAGGAGGTGTGATAAGGCGTATTGTTGGCGCGTTGCTATTTTGAGGAACTGAAATAGACCACGCCATTGACCAACTAAAAGCTGTGATAAAGTCCAGCTCAGAGTGTGTTGATTAGAGGTGTGAACCTATACTGGTCTCACAGTTCGGTTCGGTTACAATTATCATGCCTTCAATTCGGTTCAATTCGATATTTCGGTGCATCACGGTGCATTGACGATGCTTTCCATATACAGTGTTATATTTTAGAGGGGAGGCTATAACAAGCTGTCTGTATAAACACACAGACACACAGCACCACACTGTCTCTCATTCAAACACAAACATAGACAGCACCAAAGAAACAAACACACACGCACACACACACTTAAGCCCTCGCGATAAGGAGAGCTTGCGAAGAGCGGAGCAGAAAAACGAAAAAAAGAAGCACTTTTCCGACGGTCCCTTACTGAGAGCTCCTCTCAGCGTGAGCTCTCCACGCTAAACACATATTGCGAGGGCTTAAACGGAGCAGTGCACTAGTGTGGAGCGAAAAAAAAAAGAAAGACAGCTGTAAAACATAACCAGCTTTGTCTTTTTGTAGGAAACACACTTTAGATCTTTTTAGGGTAAGAGGTTTTTGAGTTATTGCCGTCTGTAACTGAATGTGTGTCAAGAATATCGAAAACAAAACCAACTTAACCGTGCTCATTTCTGGCGCCCCCCTGGATATACAGCGCCTTTAGCATTTGCCTATGGTGCCTATGCCACGGACCGGCCCTGAGTTGGCTGAGTGTTGTAAATACCCGCGCTCACCTCCCTCTTGACAGAGCGCATAGGAGATAAATGACGTCAGTACATAATAACCGGTTATGATTATTACTGAACCGATACCGAATTGTCCGCATCTGCATCGCGGTGCACCAAAGAAACAATTAATTTTGACACCCCTAGTGTTGATTATGTGCCTATGCGATCCAAACTATGCTTAATGCACACAGGATGTACAGCAATACATAAATATAAATACAATATATACTGTATATATATATATATATATATATATATATATATATATATATTGTAAATAAATATAATAAAATTAAAGGATTAAAAGGTCCCAAAAAAGATTATTATTATTTCTACATAAATATAAAAACCACTACCTCCATGCCTTCCTCACCTCAGGACTTTTTTCAGTTTGTTCATGACAATTTGCATTTGGATTCAGAGATGCCCTTCATGCTTTAGCACCATGCACTAAAGCCTTTGCACTTAGATCGTTAAAATAGAGCCCTTAGGCTGTGTCCGACTGGTCTAAAATTTAGCATTTGGAGGCAGCATTACAAGGCAGGAAGTCATCAAAGCATGCTGAAAGAAAAAACAATAAATAAACACAGCGTCTCAAAGTACCATTTGGGTGTCATCTTTTGTAAATGTATGTTTTTGATCAATGTTTAGCGCTTCTGATTGCATTTCTAATAAGAAGTTACTTTTGTTGTAAGCAAATATTCTGATTGTTATGACCAAACATAATTTTTTCATTCTAAGAAGTCTGTCTGAAATCAGTTATAAGGCATTGAGGAAACAAGTCGGCTCTCTAAGCTTTCAGACGCAGCATCAATGTTCCTCGTAATGTGCCCTTGCTGTATACGGCATATTTTGACATTAAAAATAAGTTACATTTTTTCTGAGTTAAGTTTACTTCTAAACTAATTTCAAGAGGATCACATACTTATGATTGACCACAACTGGTCCTGCATTAGCTAACGCATGATTCACCAGTCAGACAATTCCCAACTCGTAATAAATAACTAGAGTTTCTTACCTCAGTCATCTTCATCTTGAAAAATCCTGCCTTTCATTCCTACTCTTTTTCCTTGATAGGGCGGTACATCTTCCCAGTGGTTGTCTTAGAGCAAGAATGTTACTGGTTCAAGTCCTTACCAGGCCAGTCGACATTTCTATGTGGAGTTTACACATACTCCCCATTCACACATGGGTTTTCCTCAGGTTTTACGGTTTCCTCCCACAATCCAAAGACATGCGACATAGGTGAATTGACCAAACCAAATTGGCACTATAGGCGAGCTCTTAGTCAGCAGTATATCTCTCCATAGCAATCCCTAATCTGCCATTAGCCACAATGAGCAGGGGAGTTCTTGAGACCTACCTGAGCTCAAACTCCCCTCTCGCCTTGCAAATGGGAAGGAGCCCCGGGCTCAAGGATCTTATAAGCTCAGGACTCTATTCCAGGACAGCATGCCTAACAAGCTTTATAAACAATCATCAGCTAACTCTTGAAAAGCATAAACTGTACATGCTGCCTACTAGTGCACTTACTGCAGAAATAGTAAGAGTAGTATTCTATTCTCAGCAGAAATTCTCTTCAACTGATAGCATTAAAACTCAAAATATCTTTACTGTTCTAAATAACTTTTTTTTCACTATAGGTATACTGATGATGAGGGTCGCATGGAAAGCAGTGAATTAACTCTAACCCTGCGAGATCGGGCTGATTTTGGAGTGTATTACTGCATAGTGAGGAACAGCACAGCACAATTCACCGTGAAGGAATATAGTAAGAATCAGTTGCCTTATTTTAGTCTTTTATTTTGTTTAGTTTTTGTTTCATTTTAATCTAATATTGTCACATGATTATACAATACACTGTGTTCCAAATTAATATGGGAATTGGATTTAAGTCTCATGAACATACTTTTTTTTTTTTTTCAATTAAAGGGCACCTATTATTCAAAAATCAAATAAATACAGTTTAATTAAAGTTGTGTGGCAATAGCTTGTGAATAAAACGAGTTTCTGATGATTAAAATGTATTATTTTCATTATTTATAAACAAACTTTTTAAAAATAGCCTATAGAAACACTTTGATCGACATTTTCCCTTTGTATGTGTCATCAGAGGGGGAAAGCCCCACCCATTGTTGATGATCTTTCCCTCATTAGCATAGGACCTTAATCTTGCTTTTGAATCTGCCACTAGGCTGACAAACAGGCGTTTGTAGCTCCGCCCTCTTTTGAAAACAGCCCAATCTAATTTGAATTCATAGCGACAATCACCAAAATGGCAACACTTTGGTTCAAAGCCTAAAAGAGGCAGGTTTAAAGAGTTATAACACATTATTTGTCGGGTATTTTGAGCTGAAACGTCACATACACACTCTAGGGACATCAGAAACTTACTTTACATCTTGCAAAAAGGGGCATGATAGGTCCCCTTAAAAGTCAGGGTTGGTATTGTGTTTCATTTATGGACATAAGCTGGAGTGCCCACTAGACTCACTCCATCAGTTTTTTGTCCGAACTACACATTTCATCATTCTTTGCGCCGATTCAGACTCTGATTACCTGCTACAGCTGATATCTATCTGGACACAAACACACACACAACTACAGATCATTTACACTGATTACACTCACTATATAAACTCTGAAAACAAACACACCCTTTGCAGAGTCTACTGTTTAGTGTGCAATTCAAAGCATTTTCCTTGTTCCTGTCTTCCTGTGTATTTACTCTTGGCTTTTCGAATGAACTCTTTGTAAAAAAAAAAAAAGTGTTGTTTTGGCCATAAAAAAATACATTAATAAAAGACATTTTCACAATTTATGAATGCTTGTACAATTCAATAATCTAACTCAGGTCACTTGCAGCACAGTTCTATTATCCCTACGCAATACAAAGGCAGATTCGCCAGCTCTTAAAATGCTTGTCCAGTTACTAATCCTTTGAATCCCTGTAGTCACATGACCTGGGCGTTTCGAAACATTTCGGAGCAGCTTTTAGAAACATCTGCAATTCGAGATACAGACACTGTGTCGAAATGTCAGTTTTGTGTCAGCCATCCCTATGTTTTGTCACCTTACCTTACTCTTGCCAAGTTTATGAATTACTTTTTTGTTGATTACTCCTGTTGTTTCTTAGTGCTCCTGTTTTGACCGCTGCCTGTTTTGACATTCAATTTTATAATAAACTCCTCTAGGATTTTTGATTATGTCGTCACGCTCCAGTTCGTAACAGTTTTAGTGCTCTTTAGATCTTTAAAAATCAATCTCAGACACCTGTGGTAATTAGTTTACCAGGTGAGCCCAATAGAGTGGAGGAACTATGACGTCACTTTGTAGGCTAATCGGCTGCTAGCATAAAACTGGTTCCCTCGTGAAAATCTCTATAGGATTTTCCCATAGGCTTTTCGAAGATTGCAAATAATAAGCTCTGTGTTCAAACACTGTTCATTACACTTACACGTTTTGTCCAGCCGGATAATTCTCACACGAAAATGCAACTTGGAGCACTTTTGGATCTTAAATGCGAATGCAAGAGTTAAAAAGCTAACATTAGGTTATAAACGGACTACAGAGCCCTCGGGGCGCTCGTCTGTGACTTCAACCCCACCCTGCTACAGACAGCTTCTCAAGCTTATTTTTAGAAATACTGTCCTTGACAAAGAGTTAATCTCTCTGTATATTATATTATAATCCACACTATATATTATAAACAAATAAATATGCAAAAAAAACATAGACCTATGTGCCTTTTGGATAGTTTTTACATGGGAAGTACATCTGTTTTGCTTTGCGGTTGTTCTTAAAGTTTTAAAACTGTGTGTATAAATCTGCCTATATAGTATTTTCATCAGACATATTTAAATAAGTGTATCGCTCGCGCACACAGCCTGCTTACCTTAACAGCTGAAAGAAATGAGGCGTGAGGAGAAACAAGTCTATCAAATGGCTGCAAGTTCCATCATGATGGACACAGAGCAACATTCAATATTCTTTTTATGTCACGACGTGCAGCGAAAAGCAGCCCAGTCACATCTGCTAAACGTTTTATGGAGGAGTGTAAATATTGCAGTTATGACTGAGTAAAATGTGTTCAGATGAATAAAAAAAGACGAAAAATCACTTGATCACGTTAAAATGACAGTTAATATGTCTGTATTTTTACACATTTATTCATACGTTTGCATTACTGAGGGCAGGGGAGAGACAGGCTGCACTGGTGAACAGTATCTTCATAATATCGTTTAATTAAAATAAATGATCAACAAATGAATCTGTCTTGACAGCCTTTACATGTGAAGGCATTATCTATACACAATCTGAATTCTTAATTAGAAAAACACAAAAAACTATAAAATACTATTCATGAAAATACATAAATCACAGATAAATCCAAATGCCCAACACAAGCGAGCTGCGCTCCAGACCAGTTCAGCTCGATGACGTATAATGTCTCCGACACCGCCTGTAGTCCCATTTAGCATCGGTTTTTAGCATAACCGATTTAAAAATTCAACAGTGTGCTGTAACTGATGTGTTTTTTGTCGTAGAACAAAACGTGAAAATATCTTGAATTTGTCTTTGCCACGGACCTTATTTAAGCGATTTTACTGAAACCCTATTCAAAAAACCCATTGACTTTGGGACGAGGGAACCGGAAGTGCTAAAATGCTAAATCGCTTCCGGGTTTTTGCATACAAATTGACGTCATAGTTCCTCCACTCTATTATTGGAAAATTACTTAAGTAAGAAGTTCCACATTATTAAGCAGGCCACAGATTTCAAGCAATATGGGAAAGAAAATTGGACATGATATGAAACCATTAGATAATTCATGAAAACCAATTCAGAGCACAGACTGGTCTGTCTCAATAAATGCAGAATGAGGAAGGTTTCTGCCCGACAAATTCATCGGATTTAGAGAGCAGCTGTTAAAATGACTCTAACAGATATTTGTAGTTGCTTGTTCCTCTGGAGTCCCTTGAAGCTTAATGTGAAGGATCCTCCAGGATTGCAGTTGTGCATGAACCAATTTGGCCACCCCTAACCAAAGCTCACAAGCAGAATTGGTCGCAGTGGGCTCAGACAAACATACATGAGGACTATATTTAAAAAGTCTTCTTTACTGATGAAGGCCGTGCAACAATGGATGGTCCAGACTAATGGAGTAGTGCATGGCCACCATGTCCCAACAAGGCTGCAACATCAGCAAGGATGTGGCGGAGTCATGTTTTGGGCTAGAATTGTAAGGGGAGACTTGGGAGGCTACTTTAGGGTCCCAGAATGTATAAGAAATTGCCTTGATAAAGTAAGAGTTTCTGACTGACCACTTTTTTTTCACTGTACAAAAAGAAGAACTGTGCACTCTGTAGCAAAATAATCATGCATGACAGTGCACCATATCATGCTGCAAAAAATATCTCTGTGGCATTACCTTTTATCAGCATAAAAGGAAAGAAACTAATAGTGTGGCCACCATCCTCACCTGACCTCAACCCTTTTGAGAAACATTGGAGGATCCTCAAGCAAAAGATCTATGAAAGTGGGAGGCAGTTAGCATCAAAACAGCAGCTCTAAAATGTTATTTTTACATCCTGCAAAGAAATTCAAGCAGCAGCTATCCAAAAACTCACAAGTTTAGTGGATGCAAGAATTGTGAAGATCATATAAAAAAATGGGTCATATGTTAACACATAACTAGACCTGTTAACGTACCTAACTTTCCCTACCAGAAACATTTTTTCAAGCATTTTTCTTAATTTCCCCATTTGCTTGAAAGGCAGTGATCATACTGAAAACTTTTTTGGAGAAAAAAAAAATATTTTAAAGATATAATGTATCCACCACAGTGGATATCAAAATGCAGTACATGTGAAATGGAATCAGAATAGGATGCTTATTTAAATTCCAAAGGAAATCTTTCTTTGTCAACTTTGGAATTATGACTGACACAATCACGTTAATGTTACTGTATTTGCATCTTGGAAATTTAGCATTTTTGAGCTATTTTAGGCCCTGTTTCTGATGATATTTCAAAAAAGAACCTTATTAATTTATTTCCTAGAGGCTGGAAGTCTTGTTCTGAATCCATGCACTGGTGATTTGTGATATTGAAAAAAAAAAAATTCTAAATAGTGGTAATATCCACAGACGTCCACTAGGAGGACATTTTTAAAAATGATTTAATCATGGTAAAACATGTTACATTATGTTAAAAAAGTTATTAAAATGTTCTTTAGTTATTCAAATCAAATATAACAACAAATTTACTTATTAATGTTATTTTTACTAATTTACTAATTAACTTTTTTTTGTCTGTAGAGATTTTTTGTGTAGGAAAATGAAGTTCCAAAACCCTATACCAATAAATTTGGTATCATTTAAAAGTCTTAGATGTTCACTTTAGAGAACGAAATAAGTTAATTCTGTTGCATGCAGTAGGGGATAGGGGTTATTTAGATTTACAATTTTCCTCTAGAGAAGACAAATTTGAACTGCTGGTAGTATGAGACCTCCTAATTTTGCGAATGAATGATGTTGTTTACGACCTATAAAATGTTTTCAAACTTTGCATAATAATTTGGGACAGTGCTTTTTGAGTTTAAATTTTTTTTTTAAATAAATACTGTTATCATTGGAGGTTTGTTCAATAACATTTTAATTATACCCTTACGGTTGGAGTATATTGATTGTCATTTGCATCATTAGGAAAATCAGAGAAAGATATTATTTGTATAATAATTTGGATTGCAGTGTACATTGTACATTTCTGTATCATTCATTTTTATCCTTAAAAATAAATAAAGTGTTTATTCTGTGTTTTGAGGGCTTAATATTGTAGAAATTAGTTGTTGTTATTTCATATCCACAGAGTCCCCCAGTCACACAGGAGCAGTGGTGGCTTCAGTGGTTATGTTGGTTGTACTCGCTCTCGCAGCGGTGGTCTATTCCAAGTGCAGACTCAACTTTAAACTGTGGTATAAGAATATTTACGGAGAGTATGAGATCAACGGTATGTCTCAGCATGAGTGCAGAAAAAACAACAACTACACAATGCTGAAATATATATATATATTGTTTGTCACTGTCATAAACCCCTATATCTTCGAAATGTTCAGAAATAAAGATATTTTTTGCTCTTTTTTTCAGATGGTAAAATGTATGATGCCTACATCTCGTATGTCAACAATGAGAATGACAGGAAGTTTGTCAATTTTATCCTGAAGCCACATTTGGAGAACAAGTACAGTCATAAGCTGTTGCTCAATGACACAAACATCCTTCCTGGAGCTGGTAAATCATATTTAAATGGCCATAGGGTTTATTCTGTTAAATCAACCATTTATGAAGCTTTAATTAATTTTACATATTACTGTATCTACGTTACATAAAAAACTGTCCACAGATAATTTGACAATAGTGAAACTAAATTCAATTCAATTCATGTTTATTTAAATAGCGCTTTTACAATGTAGACAGCTTAACACAGAAGTTCTAGTAAATTGAAAATGAGTCAGTCCGGTTTTTAGAGGTGAAGTCCAGTTTAGTTCAGTGTGGTTTAATTTTCACTGCTTGAAAGACTAAATACTGAAGACCTAATCCTTCGATTAGCTCCACAAGTCCCAACCAAGCAAGCCAGTGGCGAGAAACAAACTTCACCAATTGACAAAGTAAATGAAAAAACCTTGAGAGAAACCAGGCTCTGTTGGGCACGACCATTTCTCCTCTGGCCAAACTGGCATACTTATACTTATTGTTTTTATGAAAAATGACCATAAACATTTTGAAATGTTGACATTTTGCTATGATTTTTTATTTATTTATTTATTTTGTCTTGCATCAATTTAAACCTGGTCTTTGAGGCTTGTTATTACCGTCAGAGAATAATACATGTCTTGAAAAGCACAGCATATGAACTATATTTTGTGTTTGTGTGTGATGTCCTCAGAGCCGTCAGCTGAGCTGCTGATGAACATAAGCCGATGTCGAAGGTTGATTGTGGTTCTCTCTCAGTCATACCTGGAGCAGGAGTGGTGCACTACCAATTTTAGGTAAAATCTACATTATTAGCAATCAGCTAATATTTGGGTATGTAAACATGCACTGGTTTCCATTGGGAAGGGCTCATTCATTCCCATTTTTTCCTCATTCATATGCCCTAATCTCTTTTGAGCCCTTCTAAATTGAACACCAAACAATTTCTCTGCTTAAAGCAGGGGTGCCCAAATCATTTTCCTGAAGTTGTGCCTTCCTGAAGAGTTCCGCTCCAATCCTGATCAAAACCATCTAAACCACAGGTGTCAAACTCAGTTTCTGGAGTGCCACAGCTCTGCACAGTTTATTTTAAACCCCAATTCAAGAGTTCACACTTAGCTGATGATTTACAAAGCTTATTTGGCATGCTGTCCCGGGAGAGAGCCCCGAGCTCAAGGGCTCCTCGAGCCCGGGGCTTCCTCCCGTTGGCAGAGCAAGAAGGGAGCCTGAGCTCGGTGGATCTCAGAACTCCCCTGCCGCTGTAGCTAAGGGAACGTAAGGAATTAGACCAGCTTGATTGTTAAGTATGTTGAATGTCTTTGGATGGTGGGAGGAAACCGGAGAGCCCGGGGAAAACCCACGCGGACACGGGAAGGACATACAAACTCCCCACAGAAACGCTCACCGGTCCTATCGAACTAGGACCGGCAGTATTCTTGCTGTGTGGTTCACAGTGCTAACCACTGGACCGCCGTGCCGCCCAATTACAGGTAAAGGAGGAGAATAGGGGAGGAGGGGGGTTTCTTCCAAACGAAGATAAAGTGAACTGAAAACTTAGACTATTTATGGTGCCTTAGGGCTCATATGATTGGAAGATTAGTGATTAGCAAATGCGAGACTGGACGTGATAAATCATAAGCACGTGATCCTCTCGAAATTAGTTTATGAATAAACTTCACTTCAAGAGTTCACACTTAGCTGATGATTTACAAAGCTTATTTGGCATGCTGTCCCGGGAGAGAGCCCCGAGCTCAAGGGCTCCTCGAGCCCGGGGCTTCCTCCCGTTGGCAGAGCAAGAAGGGAGCCTGAGCTCGGTGGATCTCAGAACTCCCCAAAATGCAGAATTAATCGCTCGGGACAGCAGCCGCGTATTCGAAGCAAAAAACCCCCCAAAAGGCAGGAAATTTAGAGCTATATCCGGCTGCTGGATATAATAGAAGGAAAGAGGTTAAATGCATGGGCATTAATTAGATAGGATTAATAAGGGTGAAAAGAGGATTCTAATAACTCTTGCTGGAGTTAGAGTTTGAAGGAACCCCTGCAGGGTTCATGGTTTTCGGGGTTAAGAAGAAGGGGAGAATAGGTGGTTTGAAGCAGTGAAAAGAGAACTTTGAGTGAATCTTGTGGGAGTTGGAGCTCTAAGTGACCCCTGCGGGGGCCAGAGTAGAGTGAAGGTATGGAGCAGAGAGTGGAGGAGAGTAGCTCTTACGAAAGATGGAGCTTTGTGAGAGTTTGAGTTTAGAGCGGCCTCTGCGGAGGTTAGAGCTTGAGGGTAGGGTGTAGATAGGAGTGACCTCTGCGGAGGTTAGAGCTTGAGGGTAGGGAGTAGATAGGAGCGACCTCTGCGGAGGTTTGAGCTTGAGGGTAGGGTGTAGATAGGAGCGACCTCTGCGGAGGTTTGAGCTTGAAGGTAGGGTGTAGATAGGAGTGACCTCTGCGGAGGTTTGAGCTTGAGGGTAGGGTGTAGATAGGAGTGACCTCTGCGGAGGTTAGAGGGTAGGGAGTAGATAGGAGCGACCTCTGCGGAGGTTTGAGCTTGAAGGTAGGGTGTAGATAGGAGTGACCTCTGCGGAGGTTTGAGGTTGAGGGTAGGGTGTAGATAGGAGCGACCTCTGCGGAGGTTTGAGCTTGAAGGTAGGGTGTAGATAGGAGTGACTTCTGCGGAGGTTAGAGCTTGAGGGTAGGGAGTAGATAGGAGCGACCTCTGCGGAGGTTTGAGCTTGAAGGTAGGGTGTAGATAGGAGCGACCTCTGCGGAGGTTTGAGCTTGAAGGTAGGGTGTAGATAGGAGTGACCTCTGCTGAGGTTTGAGCTTGAGGGTAGGGTGTAGATAGGAGCGACCTCTGCGGAGGTTTGAGCTTGAAGGTAGGGTGTAGATAGGAGTGACCTCTGCGGAGGTTTGAGCTTGAGGGTAGGGTGTAGATAGGAGCGACCTCTGCGGAGGTTTGAGCTTGAGGGAAGGGTGTAGATAGGAGTGACCTCTGCGGAGGTTTGAGCTTGAGGGAAGGGTGTAGATAGGAGTGACCTCTGCGGAGGTTTGAGCTTGAGGGAAGAGTGTAGCTGAGAGGAGCAATGAGGTTGCTGGAATGCTAACTGTAATGGCCATTGGGGGCGTCCTTGGCAAAACCTGTAGGAGTGCCATTGTTGGACGATTAGGCTTCTGCTGAGTTTGGTTAGGATGACTCTAGCGAGAATTGAGGCTCTATTAGGTACCTTTGTGAGTTGGAGCCTTGTGAGGAGTTGCTTGGGGGTTGGTTAGAGCCTGTTGTGCTTCTTTGAGGTGGTATTTACTGAGGCGTATGTAAGATTTAAAGCTTCAGAAGACCAGCGACCAAGGGTCTGGATCTGATTGTGTGAGAGCCCGTTAGAGGCTGCTGTAGTGGCTGCGCCAATCCTGAATGAGTGGCTGGAAAAAGGCTCTGGGGAAAAACCTGATAGGCGAAGAATTTCTTTAAGGTGTTTTTAGAACCAGAATCGAGATACTGGACGGTTAGCGTCGTCAGTAAAAAGCGGGGCCATAGGGTTTGCTTCTTGAGATTTTCTTAGATTAAGATAGGCTAGGAGGGTTTGGAATGGGCGAATAGGAGAAGGTATGTTGAAAATGAGGATAGAGTGTCCTTTCTGGGTTTGATCTGTTTTGCTTTGTTTGAGAAGGAAAGAGATGGTTTCCTTATCTTGCAAAGCTAGATCTGAGATAGTGGGGTGGAGTAGAGGGTTAAATTTAGATGTAACTGTTAATTCGGAACATCTAAGAAACCCAAAAAATGCTAGATTAAACATAGCATCTAAGGTGCGGGCTGTATGGGAGGAAATATACCCTTTGCGAAGGGTGTAGATGCATGAGGTAAGGATTTTGAGTGTGATGGGTTGTCTGGCATCAGGGCTGGTGGGGTGGTTTTTCTGAATACCCTTGATAAGAAGGGAGGTTTGCGAATTTGTGATGGCGTCGGAAGGAGACCCATGGATTAATTTGTGAAAGAACTGGATCCCGCTAAGGTAGCTCTTTATTGAACTGGCTTGTAGGTGATTTGCGGTGTGAAGGTGGGATATAAAGGAAGTGATAGAGAGGAGAGAAAAATCAGGGAAAGGAAGTTGGTGTAGAATATGGAATTGTTTGAACGAATTCCATGCTGTGAGGTATGCATTGAGGGTTCTAGGAGCTATTGCTTGCAGGATGAGAGATAGAGAAGTTTGGTGAAGATTATGAAGTGGGTGGTTTATGGCAATATCGTTTCTGAATACGGAGGTACAGGCGTTGGGTGAGGGTCTGCTTCCGGGGCCAGTTGCCAGGATTTCTGTAGAGAGAAGCGAGAGAGAGAGTCAGCAATTTGGTTTTTGCAACCAGGTACATGTTCAGCAATCATGATAAATTGTTTTTTAGCAGATATCCAGATAAGGCGTCTTAAAAATGGCATAAGTGCTTGGGAGTGGGAGCGCCTTTTGTTGATGCAATGCACTGTGGCTTCATTATCGCAGTGAATGAGAATGCTAAAAGTAGACCATTCGTCCCCCCACAAGATGGCTGCTGCGACAATGGGGTAGAGTTCGAATAGGGCTGAAGAACATTGGTCTTTTGGAATGGAATAGAATTGGGGTGGCCATGTTGAGGCAAACCAGTGTCCTTTGTAGTAGCCGCCGAAACCAATAGAGGGGGCAGCATCTGTGTATAGGTTAATGTCGATGGGGGAAGTTGTTAAGTCGCTATAGAAAAAGGGAACAGCCGTTCCATTGCTTAAGGAAAGAGATCCATAAGCAGAGTTCATCGCGACTTGGTTTAGAGAGAAAAATTATTTCTTCTAAACCTTGGACTGTGGTGGATAGTTGAAGGAGGTGTGAAATAAAGGGGCGGCCCTGTGGAATGATGCGCATAGCGAAATTTAGATGGCCGAGAATTGATAGGAGTTCTCGTTTTGTGCACATCTGTTTTTCGAGGAAGATTTGGGATAGAGAAATGATCCGATCGATCTTCTCTTTGGGAAGGGATGCTTGAAATTTGTGCGAGTCTAGATCAATGCCCAGAAATTCGATTGAAGTACTGGGACCTGAAGTTTTTTCCTCTGCTAGAGGAATTCCCAGATCAGCGAAAACTTGTTGGGTGATCGCTAGGTGTTTGGCTGGAGGAGATGACGGGGGAGAAATAATGAGAAAATCGTCTAGAAGGTGGATGAGGTATGGAATTCCGTAATTATGGATAGAATCCAGCATAATCATGTCAAATATTTTTGGGCTGCTTTTGCATCCGAAGGTTAGTCGGACTGCAAAATAGAATTGATTGCGCCAATAAATGCCAAAAAGGTGCCAGAAGTCTGGGTGGATTGGCATGATTTTAAAGGCAGAAGAGATGTCTATTTTGGCTAGCCAGGCGTTGTGGCTGGCTATCTTTATAAGAGAAATTGCTTGATCGATGTCGTGATAGTTGGGCGTATATTCTTCTAGTGGTATCGTGCTGTTAATGCTAGGGAAAGAAGAATTATGTGGGGACGAAAGGTCAACTATAAGGCGTTTTTTGCCGGAAAATTTTCGAGTTGCGACACCAATGGGGCTAATGCGTGAAATATTGAATGGAGGAGCCTTAAAAGGTCCGATCATGAATTTGTTGTCGATTTCTTTTTTAATAAGATAATCGACTGTTTCGGGTTCGGAGGTCGCAGACTGAAGGTTAGGACGAATTAGATAAAGTGAAAAATGGAATGTATCCTTTGTGAAGAGGATGTGGAGTGTAGTAGGTTGGATGAGGGTCAGCTTCTGGAGCCAGCAGTCATGATCTCTAAAATAGAAAAACAAAGAGAATCAGAAATTAAATCTTTGCAAAATAATACAAGTATGGCAGACATGAAAATTGTTTTAGATAATATCCATGCGAGGCATCTGAATAAGGGCATGTAAATGGAAGCGCTTTGTTAATGCATGGTCTGATAGCTTTATTGCTACAATGTGCAAGGATGGTAGAGGTGGGTGTTCGTCTCCCCACGGGATGGCAGAGGGATAGAGAGCTGAAGCATATGGGGTGTGGCTTGTCTGGTGGTCCTGGAAAACTGGTATCTCTTGAAGAGTGAGCATGTGAAGTGATAGTGAAGTTCAAATTTTTATTTATAACAGTCAAGTGAGAAGTTTGTTGTCTTGCCGTTTTCACACCCGACTGACTTGCTACATAATCCTATATGACATTTTGTATGGCGTATTACACTTGGACTTTTGTGCTTGATGGCATAATGTTTTCCAATAGCTTGCTATAATTTACTGGTTGGGTAATAATCTTTTCAGAAGTTAAATGTCTATTGGAATTTTTTTTTTTTTTTTTTTTTTTTTTTTTTCTCAAGAGAGAGGGCGGGACCATCTCCAGTCTTTTAGCTCATTGGATGGTGATGCTTCTCTTTACAGCTATTGGCTTAACGGAGTTTCAGTCAGGCAATGCAAAAGGTGCAAAAAGCCTGGCGGCCATTTTGTTAATCAAATTCAACATTGTTTATGGCTGGAGCTGCTGTTCTGCTGAACACATTCCAGCAAACAATCTGTTAAACGATGGATCGCATGTGTACTGCTAGGAGAAGGTAAAGGTTCAGTTTTTGCAATAGCTTTGGAGTTTTGGCTGTTATCTTGCTGGAAAATAAGGTTGAAGACACAGCAGATGCGTTGTGGAGGCTCTTTGAAGTGGAAGGTTTTGGTGTTGTTGTTAAAGCTGTTGATGAAATTGTTGGAGTTGTTTGAAATGGTAGTAGTAGTAGTTGTTGTTGTTGCTGTAGCTTGTATATTGTAGCTTGTAGATTGAAGCTTTTAGATTGTATATTGTAGATAGTAGCTTGAAGCTTGTAGATTGAAGCGTGTAGATTGAAGCTTTTGTAGCGCTTGTAGCTTTTGTAGCTTTGTAGTTGATGAGCAGAGCAGAGCATTCTTCCAAACAGAGATCCTGGTGATTGTAGCTTGTAGCTGCTTTGGTTGTCCATGCTGGTTTAGAGTTGTTTTTTCAACGGAGCTAGCTACGGTGAAGCTGCTTCTTCCAAACGAAGATAAAGTGAACTGAAAACTTAGACTATTTATGGTGCCTTAGGGCTCATATGATTGGAAGATTAGTGATTAGCAAATGCGAGACTGGACGTGATAAATCATAAGCACGTGATCCTCTCGAAATTAGTTTATGAATAAACTTCACTTAAACACAGCTCATCTCATCTCATTTTTGTCCACTTTTTTGGGGCCGGGTCGCAGGGGCAGCAGTCTTAGGAGAGAACCCCAGACTTTTCTCTCCTAGACACTTCCTCCAGCACCTACAGGAGGATCCCAGGCCTGAAGCTCATGACCATAGGTAAGAAGAACGTAACATAGATTGACTGGTAAATCAAGATCCCGATCCACCTGTTAATTTCATATCATCCTTCCCTCACTCGTGAACAAAACCCCAAGATGCTTGACCTCCTCCACCTGGGGTAAGGACTTTTTTCCAACCTGGAGATGGCAAACAACCTTTTTTCCGGTGGAGCACCATGGCCTCATAGCCTCATCACACTCGGCAACAAACCGCCTCAGTTCATGCTGAAGGTTCATGTTTGATCAAGCCAACAGAACAACACCTGATCAACCTAATTGAGTCTTTCAGGCTTGTTTGAAACCTACAGGTAAGGGTGTTGAACCAGGGTTGGAAATAAACTGTGTGAGGGTTGCAGGCCCCCAGGAACTGAGGTTGACACCCCTGATCTAAACTATCTAAGTAAGATCTGATGCAGCGGTGGTAAGTAAAGACAGAAGGGTTTGATAAAGGTATATCTCAGGGATAGGTTTGGACACCTCTGGCTTTAAGGATCATACCCTTAGTGTCCATCAGTTATATCCTTCAAGAATGACACTTCAATATGGCATCCATTAATGTTTTTACTCCAAAATGCCCTTCAGATGGCGATATATCCTGTTTAGAATGCACAGGTAGTCAAGTCATTCTGCTGAAGTTCAAACTGAGCATGTTTGAAAGAAGTGCCAGAAAGACTGGTTAAGCCATTTCAGAAATTGTTGAGGATTTGAAATTGAAATAATTTGGCATTTACAACATTAAACAGCAGATCTCAATCCAGTAGAGCACCTTCGGGGAGCAAGACTTTCACATTATAGATGTGCTGATGGCAATTATGAAAAAATGTAAAAAGTTTAATGTTATCATGTGAAAAAGGACCTACATACTGTAGATCTCTGCCAATTGTTTACAGCACCCTTTTAAACCTATACCACAAATATTTTGAAGGCAGGCGGTGCACCTAATAAAAAAGCCAGTAATTTTGTCTTAATTTTATGACTTTTAATATTAAATGCTGTTTTAATGTTCAGACAGGGTTTGTGGCACCTGATCGAGCTGTCAAGGAAGCCCATTTTCATTATATTTCAGTCCCAGCAGAAGCAAATAAGCCAGGACATCAGTCAGCAGCTGAGACAACACCAGCCTTGTATCACTATGATCACCTGGGGCGCACATTCCATGGTCAGACCTACAAAACATCTAACACATCTGTCAAATTTTGGGTAAAAGAAGACCTAATCATTGTTTTTCTCTCCTAAAGACTCCTTCTTCAGGGTTCTGGAAGGAACTTGCACTGGTAATGCCACGTAAGGTTACGTTTCACAGGGAATCTGCAGGTGATCCACAGACTTTGTTACAGGGTGATAAAGCTCCCATGCTCACCCAGCAGCCTGATTACCTGGACTGCAGACTGGACCCCGATCCGGCAGGAGACCTGGGTATGAAATGTGCATCTTAATTCATAAAATTCCTACGCACTTACAGAGCAAAGGACAATTTGATTAAAGAATGGAAAGGTGGCTTAGTGGTCAGCACTGTTGCTTCACAGCAAGAAGGTTGCAGAGTTTGCATGTTCTCCCGCTTGTGTTTTTTTCCCCATTTTTTCCTACAGTTCGTACTGTATGAGTGTGCGTGTAAATGTGAGAGTGAGTGTATGGGTGTTTCCCAGAACTGGGTTGTGGCTGGAAGGGCATCCGCTGCTTAAAACATATGCTGAAATAGTTAACGCAGTAGTGACCCCTGATAAATAAGGGAGTAAGTATGAACGAATGAATGATTAAAGACATTTTGTTGGATTTTTTTTTTTGGACATTTTGTATTTTGTTGGAAACTATCTCTTAAGGCCCTTTATACTTCAAACAAAATCAAAGAAAAACTGATACGACATCATTTTGCACCAAATTGGTTTGAAATTAAATACGATTTTGGGTTAATTTCTGCAGTTCTAAACTGATTATATATCAATATATACACCAAACGAGAAGCCAATCTTGAGTTTGTGCACACTGGTTGTGCCTTTTGGTGTCTTTTTGCAGCAAATCGTCACATTAAGGGGGTCACACACAAGAAGCGCCGCTCTGTGACGTGCCGCATAGTGCCACGCAGCACCATGCTTTTCAGAATTCTAAACATAGGCTTGTATCAGGGTACACACACCGACACTGCAAGTCGGCGGTGCCTGGACACTATTCATATTTCTGCCGCGCCACAGAGCGCCATCTGAATAGTTTCATTTTAAAATGCATGTGAGTCTGGTGTGCGATACTTTTAATTGTCATGTGCATGACATGTCATGGCGCTGAGTGGCGTATCCGGTGTGTGACGCCCTTTAGAATTATAAGGTTCTATCTGCTATTTTTGTCAAAATTTAGTTATTGACATTCTTATTAAATGAAAACTTTTTTTAGAAGTTGTTTACATTTTAAGACTTTTATTTAAAAATAATTGTTACACACATACTGTTATCTATATGGAATGCAAAAAGTTTAAAGCTCATTATTTCAAAATCATTCAGAACGCATATAGAACCTTATAATTCCAAAGTGACGAAATATAAAACAATGAAAAGATGTGATGCACTGTGTTAGTGCTTCTTGTTTGCCAGATGTTTATGAAATTATTCTTCTGTCACAACTACCATTGTTGTGTTTAGGTGTACAAGCAACTTGCACGTTTCCAACTACTCCTTTAGAGCTGTAGTTAGAAGAATAGTTCCTGTCTGTGTTCTGTTACCAGTTATCCCCCTATGATCCATTCCTTTTGAACATTATAACATTTACACTTGGAAAGATTTAAAAATAGAAAAACATTAAGTTCATCTCTCTTAGGTGTAATTTGCCTTCAAAGTATTTTTACAGTTCAGTTTTAGGCCGCATTTACACTGCACTGTTCAAGTGATTCAATTCCGATTTTTTTCTCCCATGTGGCACAGATCGGATATGGCCCATGTACGTGTAAGCAGGAACAAATCACATGGATTCCGATTTACTCAAATCAAATTCAGGCCTTGTTCATATGTGAAAATTTATCTGATATGAATGTGTTCTATGTGTTCTTGTGTCTGCAGTGTAAGCAGGTAGATCGGATTTTTACCTGTCAATGCGAGTCACTCGTCATTAAAACCATACCCAATGGCGTCAAATCTGACACTTTCGTTTCAGAACAGACTTCAGCAGAGTCCCAAACCTTAAATCTCATACATGAGGACTTAAACAGCTTTTATATTGTCTAATAGAACAGGTAATTAAGCATGTTAATGAGAGAGAGAGTGCGCAATGTCCGCCATGTAACCAATATAAATTAAAATAAAACTTGTACATACATCACATGCATATATCAAACAATGGACATTACATTAAGATACCTAAAGGTTTAAAAAAGCCTATATATCAAAAGATGGACGAATGAGAACCTTTCTGTCATAAACTATCGTAAAACAGCTTGTCAAAACCTGCAAACAGATTACATACAGGATAAGAGAAAAGAGCTCTCTTTAATTAACAGCTGTTAGTCAGCGCCCGCTCTTTTTTTCCTGGTCATTGCGCCTTTGCTGTGTGCTGTGTAAATGCAGACGATTGGATACGAGTCACTTTTAAAAGATGATGTAAGTGGGTCATCAAAAAAATCAGATACAGCCACAAAATCAGAATTGACCATCAAGATCTGCAGTGTAAATTCAGCCTTAGTGATCTTCATATTGACAGTTGTGCTCCCTTCGCAGTGCACTTTGAAAACATTTCTGCCATTTTGAACGCAGGCGTGGCTCATGCAGAAAGCTATAGATGACCTATTAATTAAAAGCGGAATCTGCGTTACGTCTTCAAAGCTTGTAAAAACAAAAATATATGGCATACGTTAATGCTTTTAATTTATAGTAGGCTATTTGTTAAGAAATGTATCTGTACTTGTAGGCAAATATAACACGGGTCTGTGGTTAGAAGAATTCTGCAGCGGTTTGAATGTGTCAAATTATTAATTAATTAAATAAAAAAATAAACAAGATCCTACTCAATAATAATACAATTAATAATGTTTATTATTATGGATGATATTTTTCATTTTTTAATAATAGCCTATTGTAAATTACAACCATCAACGATTTATGTGATTTATATATGCGATTAAAATATGTGTTAGCTAAGTACTTTTATGTTTTAGAAGAGAATGTGGAATATTTTCAATAATACTTGTAAAGGAAACTTATGTGTCCTTTACATACATTTCAGTTAATATGGAAAAACGAGTCCATGTTTTTACCAAAAATAATGTTTTATGAATTATAATGAATGATAATGATTTTTTTTTTAAATGTGTGTGTAAGTGTGTGTGTAAAACAATATAATTTGTACAAAAGAGTTAGTTTTTTTCTTTAAAGAAGTATTCCACCCTTTTTAGATTGTCATTATGCATGTTTTACATTATAACTAGGGCCAGACAGAATATGCTGACATTTTTGCTAATCATATGAACGTTTTCATATTAGTCAATAATATTTCTGAAATAATTTAAAAACTGAATAAATATAAATTTACACACAACTAATTAAATAGACTCAATGATGGGCAGAAAATCTGCAGATTTCTGCGCGTGCAGATTCTGTGTGGACCTTGTTTTAACTAACGTGGTTCAAACAATGCAACAAAGCAACTACGGTTTTGGGAAACACTTGTCACTACATCTTTCTTTTCTCAAAAGATGCATCATACTATGATAATTCATCCACAAGATATGTCGTTGTTTGGGAAACGCACCCCTGGTCGACTTCCAATCAGGGATAAAATGTGATAACAAAGGCAATACCCAAACTGAATGTCATATCGGCATCTCTAGTAAATATACACTGTGTTCCTCCTGCAGGTTTGCGTTTGCCCATCTACAAGACCCTTCCCACCAAAGCTCCGGTGCTTCCTGCGGCTCCTGGCCCGACAGGTGAAGCAAAACCTTCAGAGATAGATGTGTCTGACCTTGGTTTGAGGAACTACTCTGCCCGCAGAGACTTTTACTGCCTGGTCACGGATGATGATTTATGAGACACACTCCTGTTCCTTCATGCACTTTAAAGTCACTTCCCCCCAATGATTTCTTGTTACTGACACTTGTTGCTGCGTCCAAAATTGCCTACTATTCAGTATGTTCTGCATTTGATTTTAAATATACTACTCAACCGTTAGAAAAGTATGTTGCATACAGTATGAATGTGAGCGGTATGAATGGAACTCGGATGTACTACGTGTCCACCCTTTTGTGATCATCAAATGACCTACTCGCGTTAGTTCGCTTGTCTCCCATCAAAGAGCTTAAATCACCAAGAGGTTACCCTCAATAGAACGTTCCATTGCAACAGCAGCGCCCAGCAACAGCCAGGCGATTCCGGCATTTTGGAATGAAAGCGATCGGCTGTCCATTGGATCTTATTGCAACCAGCTGCTTTGTTTATTTATTTATTCATTTCAAAGAGCATTATAGCCGAGATACAACCTGGAAGACGACAATACAACACTTACTATCACAATCATCAGCACTTTTAATAGTTTATTTTACAGACTTATAATACGCTGTTGTTCTATTGGAATTTTCATTCAAAAATGGCTGCCGCGGCATCTTGTGGCTGTTTCCCAAATTGCACTAGTGTCGCCTCTTGGTGATTCTATGCTCTTTGCTCCCATTCATGAATTCTATCTCAGGGAATCATGGGATAGCATAGCGTCCATCTGATGTGTTCTTCAGAATCTCGCCGGAAATAGTAGATCATCTTTTGTTTTTCGAATTCTGAAAATTCGGACATACTACTCAGCTCGCATACTGTTTTTAGCGCACTACATAGTATGGAAGTATGCGATTTTGGACACAGCCTTACATTTAGTTACTTTATCTACACCTATACAATTTTACATGCACACTTTTTAGGCTTTAATGCAAATGGTTTAATAGCATTTCATGTACAGTTATATGGAGTATTCACTGTATACTTTAGTAAATTAGATTTTTGTTTTTTTGGGGTGTGATCTATGCCAATTTGTTTTTAACAGATTTTTTTACTATTACATAAACAAAAAAAAGTATAAAAAATATGTTACATCAAAACAAAAATATATGCTGAAATAGATGGTAGCATTGTAGTTTTATATTATGCTAGCCTTTGATGTTTTAGTCTATATCTTAGTGGATTTACTGTCATCTCAGATGAGTGAAAGTTTTTGCAGGGTTAACCAGTCAAACAAAACGAGAAGAACAACATAAAGACACAATGAAATAGTTAAAGGTGTCCATAAATCCAGCTAAGACTGTGTCTTGTGTACAGATCAGAGGACAGGCAGAAATTTCAGATGAGCAGGTAAAAACTAAAAATATCTAATAGGAAAGAATTATTAATATGGTTATGTCATTTACTGTTTGGAATCCCAGTAAACATGTTGAGCCTCGAGCGTCCACTGAGTCAGTTGGCGTTTCTCTGTGGAGTTTGCATGTTCTCACTGTGTTTGCGTGGGTTTCTTCCAGATGCTCCGGTTTCCCCACAGTCCAAAGACATGCGCTATAGGTGAATTGGGTACTCTAAATTGTCCGTATTTGTGTGATTGAGTGTTTATGGATGTTTCACAGTAATGGGTTGTAGCAAGAAAGGCATCAGCTGTGGAAAACATGCTGGATAAGATGGCGGTTCATTCCGCTGTGGCAACTCTTGATTATATAAGGGACTAAGCCGAAAAGAAAATGAATGAATGAATGAATGAATGAATTTACAGTCACTAATCTCAGTATAGTTTGTCACTAACTTATTATGGCTAATGTACAATGTATTTTGAGAGTGGCTGAAGAATAAAAATGAATTGGTTTTGTTAACATTTAAACTAAGAGCAAAATCAGTCTGAAAATCAAAGCTGTATGTTTTAACCCTCTACCGCACGTGTTATGATAAATCTATTTAAAAAATATTTGACTGTTTTTCTTTTCTTAAAATGGCTTAGCTTGAAGTTCTGTAAAAACAAGTTTGGAAAAAAATCTTTTTTTTTTAAAGGTAGTTTATGAAGTGTTGCCATATGGCAACATCGTCCAACAATGGATCTAAGCTTTAACACAGAACTTATAAATGACACCTTATACACACTTTTTAACAACCACTCATATTCCAACAACTTTCATTTATTCCATTCTTTTTGCTGAATATTATTAAAAACAAACATAATGTTGTATTCTCATGTATACAATATACAGTAAATATAAAGATTTTCTCCGGTAAATATTATAACAAATAAATAACAAGTCTAATTTATCCAAATGCATCAGAAAAATGTAGCTATTAGCTAACAATGTTCATATATATATATTATACTATATACTATACTACACCTGTCTTATCTGCATCTGACATAATTCGATCCTTTGTTTTTATTGACGTTTACATTTGCATTCAGCAACTACTCACAATGGGCGATGCAGTGGTGCAGTAGGTAGTGCTGTCGCCTCACAGCAAAAAGGTCGCTGGTTCGATCTTCGACTCAGTTGGCGAGTCTGTGTGGGGTTTGCATGTTCTCCATGCGTTTGCGTGGGTTTCCTCCGGGTGCTCCTGTAACCCCTAGAGTCCAAGACATGCGGTACAGGTGAATTGGGTAGGCTAAATTGTCTGTAGCAGTGGTTCTCAACTGGTTTGGCCATGGGACCCACATTTTTACATGGTCTTCAACCTGCGGCCCAAATTTTTAGGACTGTAATATAATTTTAGGAATCATAATTAATTTGTATTTATTTATTAACATACACAAGAAGTGACATTAATCATAAGAAAATCACCAAGACTTACAAATAAACAATATTTTATTTAACAAAATGTCTCAAATTATAGAAAAACTACAAAGTAAAAACAACAAACGTTTGGTTTCTAAAAGTGCTCTTGTGAGAGCACATCACTACATATGACACACTGAGGTTTTAAGCCTTTTTTTGTCATCAATATATGTAAATCCAATCTTTACATATTCGGGGTCGTATTTGCGCTTTGACATATTATGACATATATATATAAACTTTAAAAACAATTACAGACAAATTAAGTGTTGCTGCATATTGATATTTATCTAACTTGTTAAATCATTGTTGACAACTACTGTGAGAAATCATTAACATAATGTCTTCACAAAGATGAATATTATTAATTATTTAAAAATAACATATATAATGGGTACCCAAGAAGTAGCTCTCAGTTTCCAAAAGGTTGGTGACCCCTGCTATAATTAAATGAAATTCCACATGTCAAACGATAGTTATTGCTCGCGCATTTCAAAATAAAAGTCTTATTTAAGCAAAATAGGTTAAAAATTAAACAACACACTCTGCGACCCACTGAAAATGTTCCCGCGACCCACCCAACAGTTGAGAAACACTGGTCTGTAGCGTATGTGCGTGTGTGTGTGTGTGAATGTGTGGGGATGTTTCCCAGAGATGGTTGCGGCTGGAAGGGCATCCGCTGCATGAAAATGTGCTGGATAAGTTGTCGGTTCACTCCGCTGTGGTGACCCCGGATTAATAAAGGGACTAAGCCAACAAGAAAATGAATGAATGAACTACTCACAATAAACGCCAGTCTGTTAGAAATCACACCACAGAAAAACACTGCAGGTCATGTGACAAAGCACGTCATTAGCTACTCTAAGGTCTTCTCTTTCCAAATTCCAACTAAACAAAAAATAATGTTGGTCTTTAATAAACAGTGGCAGGGAAATGAACATGTATCATGTTGCCATATGGCGACACCGTGCAGTAGAGGGTTAATTGTTGGCCTCTGCAAAATGTATTTTAAGAGTCATGTTACCAAACCTTAACACAAACAGTTTATAGATTCTACCAGTAGAGGCCAGCATGATGCAGTAGAGGGTTAATTGTTGGCCTCTGCAAAATGTATTTTAAGAGTCATGTTACCAAACCTTAACACAAACAGTTTATAGATTCTACCAGTAGAGGCCAGCATGATGATCTGTAATACATTGCTATCTACTACAAATATAACATGACTGATGAGGAAGTGATCTATTGTCATACATAGGCTAAATGCTAGGCTAAACGTCAAAATGTTAATAATGATAAAAAATAAAAGCAAAAATATAGATGTGTATTTTATTTTTAAGAAATAAGACTTTTATTTTAAAGAAAGAATATTTAACTGCCCAATTACACAAAGGCTATAGCTAAAACTAATAGCTAATAAAACTAAATGTTTAGTTTTATATTATGAATGGAAGATTAATAACATCCCACTTTCTCATAAAAAAACTGCCATCAGTCAACACTAGGAGAACAGTCTGTGACAGCTCTGGGTGTGACGCAAACAGTAAATGTTTTGTACCTTGCCATTTGCTCGAAGGTACATGCTGTAATGCGCTTGTCATTGCCTGAAGCCAAGTTACGCTGAGGTCAAAATTCTTAAAACGAACAACACGGAGCACAAGGGTATGGTCCAAACTTCATCAATACATTTTTATACACGTTTTTCACAACAGACATTGGTAATGGACAGTTTATGAGTTAGATATGTTGTAAATAAGGCAGGTTTTGAGGAAGTGGTTGTGCTTGCTATAGGGTGTGGTAGAGATTGTTCATGTCGAAGCAGAGAGAAAGTATGTAAATAGGGGTGGGTCCACATAACAGGCTGACACAAAAAGAAGAAACAGATGCAAGGAGCGGGAGAAAAAAACAATTTTGCTGACTGATAAAAACAAGGTGGGTTGAAGACATAATTAATTGCAATTTTTGTTACGAAACTGTACAAGTTTTTGTTTAATGAAATGAGCTCACTGAAATCATTAGATTAGCCCACACCTGAGTAGCTTTTTCCATTCTAAGATGCTAATTAGATTGATTCACAACATTTGCAAATAAAGTCGAACAAAATGTTCATTCCTCATAAACTGGCACCAAATATCAAAACTTGAAATTATACATATTCATTCATTAATTTCCTTTTAATCTGGGGTCGCCACAGCGGAATGAACCGACAACTTATCCAGCACGTTTTACGTAGCGGATGTCCTTCCAGCTGCAACCCATCTCTGGGAAACATCCATACACACTCATTCACTCTCATACACTACGGACAATTTAGCTTACCCACACCTATACCACATGTTTTTAGACTGGGGGAAACCAGACGAATATTATATAATATTTTATAATTATATACTACATTACTTGCGCCAAAGAATGACATGCTACAAAACATGGAGGCTTTTGGAGGTGCAAGACTAGAATGTCCCATGTGTTTGAAATATGTATATATTTATTTACTTATTTTTTATTTTATTTTGAAAATACAAGGTTATTTTAGTAAATCAAAAATAAACTATTGGTTAGAGAATCAGTTTTGTTAACTGCAATAAAAAAAAAGATAAATGAAACTAAGTCACTGAAAAACAAAGTGAAATATATTAATAAAAATAAAATTTCTTTTATTATTAATAAGCCCTCAGTGTGTGGGGAAAAAAACAAACAAACCTGCAGCTGTTTAAAGAAGTACAAGAAGCTTTTTTTACTGGCACATTTTATTCATTCGCCAAAAAAAAAAAAAAAAAAAAAAAAAAATCTAGTCATCTAGATCTAGTCATGTTTGACTAAATGTAAAATTGTAGTTTACTTTAATTCTCCATGATTTTAACTTTATGTTGCATTTGTGTGGTTACAAATTGTTATTTCAAACTAATACTTTATTTTTATTTGCACAAGAGTTAATGTAAGCTGCGCAAACACTAAACTTTACTTTGACAATGGATGCATTTTCTTAAAGGGGTATCACCAAAAAAAAATTCTATTTACTCACCTTCCAATGTTTTTGAGTTTCTTCTGGAGAACACAAAAGAATATATTTTGAAGAAGGCTGAAAACGCTTGACTTCTATAGTAGGAAAAGCATATATTGAAGTCAGTGGAGACTGGCTTCCAGTTTTCCTCAAAATATATTCCTCTGTGTTCATTCATTCATTTTCTTTTCGGATTAGACCCTTTATTAATCTGGGGTCGCCACAGTGGAATGAACCGCCAACTAAAAAAAAACATGTTATAGAAATGTACCATAAAATAACAAACAATAAATTACATAAGTTTACCAGAAATTAAAATTTTCTGTAATTTATTGTTCATTAATTTGCAGTAAATTTCTGTAATTTAACGGCCGTTATTTTATGATTTTTTTTCCAGCACCACAGTTTTACGGTATTTTTTTTAGTACTGATTGGTATTGACATCTTTTTGAGTTTTAACTGCTTTTGAAAAACAATTGGAGAATGTTCGCGTAATTCTAGAATCGCCTAAATGATTGCAGAACTTCCATTGTGGGGGGATCAAACTCTGCAGGACACCCTTATATAGGATTTTTCACCAAACAAAATCAAGTTGACGACACCTTAAAGAAATTCCTTTTTATTGTATTTTAACATCATAAATCTATGACACTCACGCACATGCATTTTACAGTGAAATTGATGCGGAATTATATAATATTACTAGACATTCAATCATTTCAGACTTCGGCCAATGAACATTCTTAAAGCCCGAGACGACATTGCAGAATCAACTCTTATCCAGTAGAAGATTGCGAATCGCTCACGACAGTCTTCATGACAATCTTACATACGAGAACTCGATTAAATACAAGCGGAAAACATACCAACCCAAACCAAACATTCAATATTTGGCGAAATAACAAAAGATGTTGATACAAAAATAAACAGTACAGGTGGAGTAGAGTGAGTTACAGTTAAATCAATGCACATATTGCACCATATACAATGAGGGTAAATATAAACGTGGGTCAATAACTGAATTAGTTTTTTATAAAAACATTCTTAAGCCACGGTCACACTCGACTTTTCGCCCTACAGACTTCTATTCCATTCTCGTCCCTTTTCGCAGCACCGTATGACAGAATTTTCATGCTCAAACTCTAGTGTAACCGCGGCATTAATCTCCAAACCCCTCAGACATCTGGATAGTGTCCACATATCATAGTTATTATTTTTTATTAAACCTACTATCATTAATTACACACAAATAGATGATTTCTGTACATAAAACACAACAAAAACAATAAAAGATAAGGAAAAAACCCTTTAGACAGAGTAGTAAGAAATAAGCTATTCTTGTTTAACAAATTGTCCGGCCTGTGTTTACAACATTTAATGTATTATTATAAAATCTGATATCATCAATACATTAAAATGTAAAATGTCATGTTAAAATATCTGCCCTGTCATCACAATACAGATGGTGTACTACAAAAACAGTGATTTAAATTCCCTAGGATATAATTATTATATCATGGACAGTATACAGTGTGTTACTGTAAATTAATATATAAAAATACAGATGATAGCCAGTAAAAATAGACATATTGCAATAAATCCCTGAGGATTTTTTTTGGAAGGAAAGAAATACAAGGCTGAGTAGGATGTGTTCATCCTATAGCAAGTCTTGTGTGTGTGTTATCTACATGTTTCGCATTAGTGTTCCTGCGTTTCCTATATCCACTGTCCTTTTTTCACAATATGATCAGTTTAGAAGGTCATGTCTAAGAAGGCTTCCTTCTCGAATCCTTTCTGTAAAACACAAAGTGAACAAAACAACATGAGTAAATGACGCTTTTATTTGTACCGGTTAGTAAACTGGCTAACGTCCCAGATTCACTTTTTTTTCTATGGTGTGTTTGAACTTGCTCTGAAGGAAATCACCTGAAATCCTCATGTCAGGGTGTGGTTCAACCTCTACCTTCAATAGCAACCCTTTGAGTGTCTGAATATGTATTAAAAAAAAGATGACTAAATATTCCTTGTTTGATTTTCAGTCTTAAAGATAATTAAACATTCACGTTTTTGTGAACGTGTGTATGTGTGTGTGTGGCTTTTTAAACAGCCATCAAATAACTGGAAAATGTCTAGAGGGCAGGGCGGAATGACAGTAACTATGAAGTACAACTGCACAACATAAACAAAGACACATTCTGGGGTGGGTCTGGAAATAAAAGAAAATGTTACATTAAATGTTGGAGGTCGACCTTAAATTTCTTAAAGCATTAGATCAGCCAAAAATGAAAATTTGGGAACCTTTTTACTTAAAATGGGACTTTCTTCTGTTGAACTCCAAAATATCTTCTTTTGTGTTCAACAAGAAATAATCTCCTATAGGTTTGGAACCACTTGAGGAAGAGTAAATAGTGAGTAAATCCAGGGTGCAAATTACAGAGGGTTGACCAGACTGTCATACAGACTTAAGGTTGGGCTCATTTAACTCAAGATTATCAATCTGCCAATCACTAATGTAATGTAATGTGTATTTATATAGCGCATTTATTGTGTATGGCCATACACCCAAAGCGCTTCTCAATCATAAGGGGGGGTTTCTCCACACCACCACCAGTGTGCAGCATCCACTTGGATGATGCGACGGCGCAAGTGCACTCACCACAATTCCACACTCGCCAATTCGGTGGAAGGGGATGATTGGGAGGCCATGATCGTAAGGGCCGATAGAGGGCCTTTAGCCAGGACACCGGGGTTACACCCCTGCTCTTTCATGAGAAGTGCCATGGGATTTTTAATGACCACAGAGAGTCAGGACCTCGGTTTAACATCTCATCCGAAAGATGGCGCCCACTGACAGTATAGTGTCCCCTTCACTTTTACTGGGGCATTAGGAATCACACAGACCACAGGTTGAGCGCCCCCTGCTGGCCTCACTAACACCACTTCCAACAGCAACCTAGCTTTTCCATGTGTTTAGCTTCAGCGAGTAACCGGTCTTGGGCTGCAGGGTGATATGGCTGATGACCATTCAACTTACTAGTCACACCGCAACCACTTATGGCACTTTAGCAACTGTCCCATAGACTTTCATCATGAATAAAACTGCCATTGACTTTAAATTGGACATACTAACAACATACTAGATCAAACTAGCAATATACTAATCCATTCTAGAAACATACCTACATACTAGCAACATGCCATTTCATACTAAATTCATGCTAGCAACATGTTAATTCATACTGGAACTATGCTTATTTATGTTAACAACTGCCTAGCAACTACTCAAAACACCTAAGCAGCCGCCTAGCAACACCTTAGCAACTGGCTAGCAACACCTGCTGTTATGACACAAGGTACAACGTAACCTGCTCATCTAATTTTTATTTTTTGTAATATTTATATTATTTGCTTATTAATAACCACCGTGTGGAACTCTGAATCTGCATCTCATTTTCGGAGTCTGCTACTGTCCACTAGAGGTCGCATTTTGGTCACGGACGCATGCTTTTAGAGCCTTTCTGAATGAATGAATGAAGTACGTGGTTTTCCACCAAGGCAACCCGTGGTGCTGAAATATAATAGGCTAAACTGGCATTGGGCAGGTTAAAATTACCAAAACAAAGACAGCGTTCTGGCAGGGAAATCACATTTTTAAAACAGAATAACTGACTTCAACTTTGTTTTTCAGATAAACCAGATTGTTCACTTGGCATGTTTCTTAAATATCTGCAAACCTGTATTGGTATTTTAATGCTTCAGAACTTACATACAGCACCTTTAATTAATTGTTTAACTTAATATTTTTATATTAGTTTAGCTATATTACCTTTTATATTAGATATTAGTTTAGTTTGATTGATGTACCTTGCTAGAAAATTTCCACTAATAAATTTAAGGCAGCAAGAATTTTTACAGTGTGTTTTACTTCAGCCAACCTTTCCAGTTTTCATTGACAAGCTCTAAAGTGACTGAAACCCGCAGGTTGTTGGACAACAAACAGCCACAGCGATTTAGCTAATTTACAATGCCAATAAATCAATCAAGTTCTCCTTTTTTACCCTTTTTTAGGTTTCATGCTAATAATGAATCTATAATGATAACTATATTAGCACACCATTAGCATTACAATTACCATACCATTTTTAAGTGCACATGGCACTTATATTTTGTTGTTTTAAAGGAACACTCCACTTGTTTTTGTAAATTGCCTCATTTTACAACTTTTGTTTTACCATTGTTAAATCCATTCAGCTGATCTCCAGGTCTGAACTTTCTTGCTTAGCATAGATCATTAAAGGGCAATGAAATCCACCTCTTTCGGTTCAACTCTACCTCCGAATTAAAAAAAAAAAATGCTCCGAGATGGGCGTGGAGCTGTGCAAGCAGAGAGAGAAGTGAATGTGGCAAGCAGAGGAGAAAGAGAGGAGCGAACAGCTATTGTCAATTGGCTCACAAAATGAGAAACAAACTGTGAAGAGACCCATAATTTTATAGTTTACAAAGTTAAAATGCAAAGAAATAAACATTAATGTAATGTCCTTCTACATTTGTTATTCGTAATTTTATGCACACATAACCATAATTTGTTCTTTCATCATAAAGATAATCGTTTTTATATAAACACTATTAAAGAGGAGGACTCTCATAAATAGGGGATTAAGGAGTCTCCTGGGTCTGAATGCAGACACAGTGGATAGCAGTGCAGCAGGTCTCTCGCCCTGTCTATTCTAACCATTAACCCTGCTGATAATCTGGAGGATTTTAAACATATGGCGACCACAGCAGGTATGGATAAATTTGATGTGTCTGAATGGTAACAAACTCAACTGATAAAAGACAACGTCTGTCATTTTCTAATTCTCATACAGCTCTTCCAACAAAAATGCTTGCTGCAAACTAACAGCTTTGGTGTATCTGCCCGGACAGAATGTGGAGTGACCATTTTGTCCACTTTGACTCGTTGGATGGAAACACTACTTTATTAGCAAATCTTTTATACAATATTTCAGTTTTAAGCATAAAGTTAATTTGCATTTTTGTATGGTATCATAGCTACTGATATTATGCAGCACTGTTGTCTAGTTACCCAGCTGGAAACTATTTTCTGGCATTGTGTATTATCATTGCTCCTGCTGCAATCATAGTAAGGCAGCAGTTAAGTGATTAATATGTTGGAATAAGAATATAGTTGTTATGTCATTTGCATCCGCTTATCCAGGGTTAGATCACGGGGGGGAGCAGTCTTAGGAGAGAACTCCAGACTTCCCTTCTCAGACACTTCCTCCAGCTCCTCCAGGGGGGATCCTGAAGCGTTCCCAGGCCAGTCAAGAGACATAGTCCCTCCAGTCTGTCCTGGGTCTTCCCCGAGGCCTCCTCCTGGTGGGACATGCCCGGAACACCTCCCTAGGTAGGCATCCTGGGAGCATCCGAAACAGATACCTGACCCACCTCAGCTGACTTCTCTCGAAGTGGAGGACCAGCGGCTCTACTCTGAGCTGCTCCCGGGTCACAGAGCTCCTCACCTTGTCTTTAAGGGTGCGCCCTGGTCCACTGCGAAGGAAGCTCATTTCGGGCGCTTGCATCTGAGATCTTGTCCTTTCGGTCAAGACCCAAAGCTCATGACTATAGGTGATAGTAGGATCGTAGATTGACTGGTAAATTGAGAGCTTTGCCTTTCGGCTTATCTCATTCTTTACCACAACTGACTGGTACATTAACCGCATTACTGCTGAACCAATCCGCCCGTCAATCTCACGCTCCATCCTTCCCACACTCGTTGACAACAACCCAAGATACTTGAACTCATCCCCCTGGGGTAAGGACTTTCTTCCAACCTGGAGATGGCAAACCACCTTTTTCTGGTGGATCACCGTGACCTTGGACCTGCAGGTACTGATTAGCAATACTGACCTAGAGAATAGCAACTTTTCATTTTCTGTCTTAGTACACGATGTACCTACAGAACATTCAAGCTTTAGGAAAATAGGAAGCTATAGGAAAATGACTGAAACTGTTACACTTTTTGGAGCAAGATGCTAATGGACTAATCCGATTTAATGACTTAAGCCAGGCGTGTCCAAACTACGGCCCGCGGGCCATCTGCGGCCCGCAATCAGTTTTGTGGCGGCCCGCGAGGCTTTTTATAAATATCAATAGAATCTGGCCCGCTATACAAAAATGAACGTAATTCAATAAATAACCACCGGGTGTCGCTATTACATGCATTCAATTAAGCAGCAGTTCTTGTTATGATCTATCTGTCTGTCTGTCTGTCTGTCTGTCTATCTATCTATCTATCTACACACAGTTGAAGTCTGAATTATTAGCCCCTCTTTGATTTATTTCTTCTTTTTTAAATATTTCCCAAATGATGTTTAACAGAGCAAGGACATTTTTACAGTATGTCTGATAATATTTTTTCTTTTGGAGAAAGACTTTTGTTTTATTTCGGCTAGAATAAAAAGCGGTTTAAATTTTTTTATGAACCATTTTAAGGTCAAAATTATTAGCCCCTTAAGTCTTCAGAACAAACCATTGTTATAAAATAACTTGCCTAATTACCTTAACTTGACTAGTTAACTTGATTAACCTAGTTAAGCCTTTAAATATCACTTTAAGCTGTATAGAAGTGTCTTAAAAATATCTAGTCAAATATTATTTACTGTCATCATGGCAAAGATAAAATAAATCAGTTATTAGAAATGAGTTACTAAAACTAATATGTTTAGAAATGTGTGGAAAAAAATCTTCTCTTCGTTAAACAGGAATTGGGGAAAAAATAAACGGGGGGCTAATAATTTAGGGGGGCTAACAATTCTGACTTCAACTGTATTTATATATATATATATATATATATATATATATATATATATATATATATATATATATATATATATATATATATGCGTGTCTGTGTGATGTATGTAAAATTTGGCCCGCGACAACGTTTGTTTTTTTTGCATCTGGCCCTCGGCCCAAAAAGTTTGGACACCCCTGACTTAAGCTGAACGTGCACTGACTAGATTAGGAAATCCGCTGAATGGTTTCCAAAATGGTAACATTTAAAATGGTAAAAAAAAAAACTGTTCAACTCCAGGGAATTTGTAAAACAAGGATTTGGAAAGAGCATTCCTTTAATCTCTTTAAAGCACAATATTTTCTGATTTGCTGTGAAGACTTTATCACACATCGGCTAAAAAAAGCTTTAATGAAGTGAAACCTAATTATTAACATTAGTTTGTGTCTTTCTTTGAACTACACTTAAAAAGTGTGAACTGAAAACAAATTTTTATATGAACTTACCTCTTTGTAGTCTTTGTGTAATTTCTTGTACTGGAACATGTTGCTTAGAACTGTTACTGCTGCTTTGGCAGCTTTCAGTTTGTTGGGGCTGGAAGAAATTGAAAATCATTAAGTTAATATGGAAAGTCATTTTGTGATGTTTCTTGTATATGTACATGACTTGAAGTTTTACCTGTTGTCATGGTTGTTTTTAATCTCAAATAGCTTGCGCAGACCATCAAAGTAAGTGATGTCTCGTGCGGCCAACATGCTGCCGGTCACCAGGTTGTTTAAAGCTCCACAAATGTTCACTACGACGTCGCTGGACGGCTGCTTCTGACGGCCATCAGCGGGCAGTTTAAGCACCAATGTATTTACCACCTTAGTAGCTACAACAAGAGAAATTCAGCTCTGGGCTGGCTTTGACACCACAAAAATGTGATCCACTCAAGTTTTGTGGCCAAAGAAAAAAGCCTCACCCATGTCATTCTTGTCTTTGGTGTGACGAGAGAGGTTTCTGAGAAAGCCGGTGAGAGAACGGAGCTCCAGATCCTTGTCGGTTTTGAGGAGATCCAGAATAACAGGAAGCATCCTATTCTGCTCCAATGCCACAAGACTCAAGATGGACGCCCACTAAATAAAACAACAGAATTCAAATTATTTAAATGAATTTCAAGAGTTGACATTTAGCTGATGATTGGTAATTAGATTGTTTGGCTTGCTGTCCCGGGAGAGAGCTTAAAAGATCTTCAAGCCCTGGGCTTCCTCCCGTTAGCAGGGCAAAAGGGTAGTTTGAGCTCAGGTAGATCTCGAGAACTTCACTACTAATTTCTGACTAATAGCAAATATAAGATGGCTAAGGAGATATACGACTTGCTAAGGGCTAGACTTTGATGTCAATTTGTTGCGTGTTTTTTTGGACTGTGGGAGAAAACCGGAGAACCCTGGGAAAACCCGAACAAACGAACTCTGTACAGAAATATTCAAGACAAAGATACTGAGAAACTCTGGCTATTTATGGTGAGTTAGGAATCATCTGATTGGTGAATCAGCATAGCTATGAGTGACCAGCCATGAACAATCATAAGCACATGATGCTCTCGAAATTAGTTTATAAATAAACCTCACGTATAGAATTAGTAATTAAAGTGGCAGACCTTTTGTTGGTGTCACTTTGACTGCTTCAGCCACAACATTCTTAACCATGGCCCTCTTAACAGTTTTTTGCTAAGAGAGAATCAGATGTAAATAGAAAACCCCACCCCGTTCTCGATATTCAGTTTCAGTTTGAACTACATATACATACTGAAATAAGTCTCAACAACCTTTGGACTTGAGGATTGTACATCTGCACTAGTGCTAGTGTAATTCCAATCATAAGCAACACTGATATATATATATATATATATATATATATATATATATATATATATATATATATATATATATATATATATTAGTGCTGTCAATTGATTAAAAAAAATAACTATTTAATCGCACCTTTTTAAAAAAATTAATCGCGATTAATCGCATTTAAAATACTGAAACTTGTAATTTTGGCAATTCAAATGTAAAATTAATGTAAACGCAAGACAATAACTATTTAAATTCAAAATATAATTGTTTATTAGAATTAAAATTCAAAATATAATTGATTAATAGAATTTTTGTTTAACTTGTAACACAGATTTCTTCATGTAAACAACATACCCACAATAAACCATCAAGATCCTGGCTTGACAGCCATATTTATTAAAGAAATTAAAACACAGGCATGTTAATGACATTTCAATTTCAAAACAATCAATGCCAATACAGAAAACATTGATTTCCATGTTGGATTCTAAGTGGACTGCAAAAAGAAAAAGCCAAAATACAGGAATTGCAGATATGGAAAATTATAATAATAAACTATAGAATACAAACTGTTGCACTCATTGTAAAGTTTTATTGCTGTGAGTTGAGAACATTAGTTATAAAGTAGAAACTATTTTGCTTAATCCTCCATTACATTCATCCAGTTGCTAAGACTAGGAGTATCCCGCAAGTGCACAGAGACTCCCAAATGCCCGCAAATGAATGATAATTTCTCGCAAACCGGTCGTAAAATACATTGCACACCCCTCTCCCCCGCATCCCTCCTAGCTCTTTAGGTAGCCTATGTCGCACACAACTCACCACCACCGTCCTTCAGGTACGTCTCGAGCGCACACGCCCCTACTCAGATACTTCGCTCACTCCACCCCTGACACCCCTCAACGGGCCTGACACAGACACACACCCAGACACACACACAACGCGCTGCAGATGTTTTGGCCCCAACGGCTTTCCATACTGGAGCGACTCCCCTCAGATTTAACACACGCATGATCACGTTCATCAAATTTGCTTAAACTAAGCGTCCTAAAGTATTACTGTATTTCACAAGGATTCTGACACAACAACGCGAAGCATACGCTTTCGTTGCATTTAATGAGGAAACACGCTAAACTTAGAGGGCTCATGCTGAAAGGCAGAGTAATGCCCTGTCTTTGACAGCTCGCGACTTCACCAGAGACTTTGAGTACATTCACATAAGACACCAATGCTCCGATTTTAATATGATTAAGATTATACTCTTATTAAAATTCTACCGTGTAGCCTAAGTAGTGATTTTATTAAGCTTCCTTAAAGTAACACCGAGTCACGAAATGCGGAGGATTTTCTTTCTGCCATGCTTACAACAGAAGTCGAAAGTTAAAAATGAAACACCCGAAATTGCATGAAACTTTGGAGAGCCTGGTGATGCGACTAATTTCTTTTTTACTGAAACTTGCCTTCAAAAAGTGCTTCCTTGGTCTTATCCACATTTCTTGCATGTTAAACACACGTCCACCACAACAGGAAGTAAAAAAAAACCCTGCAACTGCGTTAATTGCGTTAATTTTTTTTAACGCGTTAATTATTTTAAATTAATAGCATGCGTTATCGCACTAATTTTGACAGCGCTAATATATATATATACACACACACACATACATATTTAATACTGTAAACATGCTTTAAAGCAATATATTGTATAAAGTGCCATGTAAACAAACATGACACCTTGGAAATTTGAGCAAACATCCACATCAAGAATATGAGACACCCTCACAATTGACATTTTCTTATTATCAATTTATTTGTACATTTATTGTGGTACTGAGAAGAAAACTTGTATGGACACATTCATGTAATCGCCAGAGAAAATACTTTTGGGATGATGGCTAACTGTATAACTACTGCAAACTTAATTTTACTCTTCTCTGTTAAGATATTTTTCTTTACTAGGGCATGGTACTAGTTTGTGAGGTCTTCATGTTACAGCCTATTCAAGTAGTAGATACAGTACAATGCTGTGATATGTTGGTAGGTGGTTCAAAGTGGTTGATAGGGTGGTCTGAATAGTTACTAGTAGTGATGGGAGAAACAAAGCTTTTCAAAGATTCAAAATAATTAAACCAATTGCTTCGCAAAATGAGTCCTTGTTTTGAATAATCCAAAACACAAAAAACCTGTTGTTCAGAACAATGTAAATTCCACACAAACCTGCATTTTAAGTTTCATTTAAAACATATTGTGAATTTTAAATTTTCAAGTATATTGTTAAGTATAACCTATAAATGCACTTATCTTATCATCTTATATTTATCATTAAATATTAAGCGTCTGTAAAAGTTGCCTTCCTTTATAAATGTTGTACTTCATGGTGGGCTTTGTTAAACAGGACAGCTATTATCTATTATTAACTATTATTTATTTTTATTATAGAAATTTCTCATTAAAAAGTCTACAAAACTTGTAAACCTTCTCTGAGATGAGGTAAAGTCTATGTTCAGCAATTTGCCCCTAAGCGGAGAACCATTCAATTTTTTTAAACATTTCTAAACAGTAATGATGAAACGAAGCCGTATTTACTACAATCATGTGCCCTGATCGATTTGATGTACTTATGATTGTTCTCAGCTGGTCCTGCATTAGCTCATGATTGATTCTTCAATCAGAGGATTCCTCAAGCTTCGGTCACATTAGAGTTTGAGCATGCGATATTCTGTCTTGCGGTTCTGCGAAAAGGGGCGGGATTAAACAAGCTTATTAGACATTTTATAAAGCAAGCGATTGCTCCATGTTTTAAATTGTCCTCTTTGTCCAGAGAGGTCATGTTTAGATCCTCTATTGGTCTCACACAGTCAAGTGATGCGATTTTGCAGGTCAGAGTTCACCAAGCTTGAACTTTGAACCGCAGTAACCTGCGAAACTTAACACATGATACTGCGTTTCCGGTCTGACGCATTCGCGTGCGTATGAATGGAAGTCTATGGGAGGAAAAGCCCAGTGTGACTGCAGCTTAACTCATTATAAATAACCAGACTTTTCTTGTCTCAATTTCTTCTTCTTTAAGGGGGCTCATCTCATAAACTCTGTGCTCTCTCCCAGGATAGCATGCCAAACAAGCTTTATTATCAATCATCAGCTAAGTGTGAACTCTTGAATGCAGCCTTTACTCGTTACTAGTATGTAGGGCTGGCTGATTAATCAAATTGAAATCGTGAATGTGATTGAGCAAAGCTGCGATTGTTAGAATCTTCTCAAGGGAGCACGGTGTGATTTGAAGTAAATCTCCTTTGAAGGACAGAGGAAACTCTTGCGGAACCACAAACCTGTCCAAATACTCAAGAAGAAACCGAGGAAATCCCCTGGGGAAAATAGCGGTTGCTGAATAAACAAGATTTAACTGCATTCGTTGAATCAGCGTAACTAGTAAAGACTCAACTACGGAATAATCTCACCGAATTTCAGATTCAAAACATTGGTAAAAACGTTATTATATCTTTTAATTTAACATGTAGCTTTTACTAAAGCCATAATTCATTAAGAAGTAACTTAAGCAGTTGTCGTTATCGCACAATTAAAAAAAAAAACATTTTGCATAGCTTATCAATGAACTATGACTCGGTCGTAAACTCGGCACCATCCAAACAAGCGTGCTGGAGGTTTACTAAAATCGTTTTTACTGACAAAATTTGCATGAAAATCAGCCAGATTAAATTCCTAGTATGTTCTGGGTAGTTGGATGCCACATAACTGAATCTCTTACCCTCTTGTCTCCAGCAGTGATGTTCTGCAAGGCTCCGGCCGCAGCCTCTCGTGTGGTGGAGTTGATCTCACAGCGCGTGAGCACCTGGTTATACAACTCAATTATCTTTGGGTGCCAGAGCCACTCGATGTCTTTGGGTGTCCGTGAAACTTCTGTAAATGTGGTGAGGTCCTGATTTTTTCTCTGGAATATACAACAATATTTGCATTACATTTGAAGCTATTAATCAGATGAAAGTCTGTGATGGGCTATTCCTTACTTCTTTGGCTTTCTTGCTGTTAGGAGTGAAGCAGCCGATGGGTTCTGCTTTTGAAGAGCTCTGAGCACGACGCGGACCATCTAGACGTGAGGCTATAGAGGGGGGGATCTCGTTGTACACCTGATAGGACAGATTCCTTAACACACACACACAGTTCTCCACACCCTGATATAGAAAACACACAGATAAATTCTCAAATAAAAACACACAGCTTTTAACAACAGAGACAGAAGTACAGTGTGTGTTGCACAATTACCTTCTCTTCCACTTTACTGTCCACCACACATTTCTTAATGTAGCCGACCAGAGCGTCTATGAGGCCTTTGGTTTCTCTCATCAGTTGTCTGGTCTTCTCATTTACAGAGCTCATGTTCCTGTACAAAGGGATATGTAAAAATTAAATTTCCAATTTGTTGAATTAAAATTCATTAATTTCAGTGGTGAATTTCGTTTAATTTGTTTGCTAAAACTTGTTCTCATATATTTGCTGAATAGTCTAAAAGAGGCTATTTCCAGGCTTCGTTTTCTTTCTGGGCTAGTTTTTGGGTTGAAATAAGGCAGGGGTGGTCAACCCTGTTCCTGGAGAGCCACCTTCCTGCAGATTTCAGTTGCTACCCATATAAAACACACCTGAACTAATTAATTAGGACCTGAACACCACGTGATAATTACAGGCAGGTGTGTTTGATATGGGTTGCAACTGAAATCTGCAGGAAGGTGGCTCTCCAGGAACAGGGTTGGCCACCCCTGAACTAAGACATTGATGTGTTTTCGTTCTCAGGTTTCCAAACAGGGATGTGGCTAGAGGGCATTATCAATCAATGAAGTTCCTACAGGAACAGGAACAAGCAAAGGGGAACTCAAAAAGTGTTACCTGAGACAGCCAGTGGTGTTGAAGAAGATGTCAGACTCTGAGGGGTTCAGCTCAATGATGTCCTGGTCTCCGGTTCCGGAGAGGGGAATCAAAATCCTGTCTGTCAATTCAGGAAGAATTTCTCGTGCCAGCCTTTCTTTCAGATTATCCTTAGAGGACAAATTCCAGAGGATACCTACAGGGAATAAAAACAATGAATGAGCAAAAGAGCATGGGAAAGTGGCATGGGAAGCAGATAAAAATTTGAATACAAAACCTGTTTCACAAAATCAAAAACCTCTCACAAAAATCTTAAAACCTCCTTGACTTTCCTTATGATGTCATTTTCCTAATGTTTAGTAGCGATGTTCTCATAGGGCAGATGTTTACTGGAGTTCTTGCATATCCAGACATGCAAAGAGCCGCAAGGACAGACGTAAACCTGACTCACGAATCATCGCTACAGGAGTCCTCTCATTCCAAGGCACATGTCAAGACAGCGCTGAGCAATAATTAATGTAGCTTGATGCATTATAAAGCTAACAGACAACGCCCTGCATAGAACACAGATATATATATCAATACCAAAGGTCCTCAACCCTGTTCCTGGAGATCTACTTTGATGCAGAGTTCAGATCCAACAATTAAACCAAATGCCTGTCCATTTTCACAACAACAGCATTTTTCTTCTGAAAATGGGTTATAAAGTGAAAGGTTTTGAAGGTCAGGTCTGTGTAAACACCCAAAAACAAAGGTCTCTAAAAATGATGATGTCATTTGCACGTGTAATTTAGAGAGGTGTAGATTAAATCAGTGTTTCACAACCATGTTCCTGAAGGACCACCAACAATGCATGATTTGGATGTCTCCTTTTTCGGTAACATTTATTACTGGTCTTTCATTCTCTGCACATGAGTAGATGATAAATCAGGTGTGTTTGGTTAAGGAGACATGGAAAATGTGCAGATCTGGTGCTCCTCCAGAAACTTGGTTGAGAAACACTGGATTAAATGCAAGTGCAAAAAAACAATGGTGGATTATGTTTAGTGTTGTTGTTGGTGTTTGGTCATGCTTCAAAGAGTGGATTTACTTCAAGTTACAACAACCACCGAGGACACATCATACACACACCAGCACCAAGTCAATTCCTTTCAGGTACTGCTTACTAACAAGGTGCATACTGGGCCAAATACTGGCCCATAGGTAAGACAGCGTTTTTGTGTAAACACCAGACCATTTTGAAAATGTTAAGCATTTTGAAAACACAATGAAAAACCTTTTCCGTTTTTGTCTAGATCATTGTCGTGTAAACTTAGATGCTAAAAGTAGGATCTAAAGAAGCACTTGATTCCTTCAAACAGATGTGTTTGATCATGGTTGTAACTAAACTCTGCCGAAAAGTAGATCTCTAGAAACAGTGAAGACCTCTGATCTAGACTGATGCTTAAAACAAGTCATAAATGTACAATAGCTATTGATTGGTAAAACCTGTTGCCCTTAGTATTATGTTGCGTTCACCTTTCATAATGTAGACATAGGAGTTGCTTTGGTGCCGTGACCCAAATGGGAGTGAGATTTAGAAGGGGAAGTATTATGGATATCTATTAACTGTGCGTTCACACCGAAGAGCGTCAAAGTTCGCTCTGGCTGCCCTGGCGGCCTTCACTGCACTGCCGGCAAGAGCATCAAAATTCAATGCATTAATCTCATATTGAAAGGGGCCATAAATCATTTACATTCCCCCATAAAAAAATGACGCTTTCTATCATAAAAATGTTGCGTGCCTTTTATCATAAAGTTCACAGAACTGGGTTCTCTGGAATCCTCTCTAGCGGTTGACTTCTACATTCTGATTGCTTGCCACCAAACCGCGTCATAGCTTTTACCATAAAGTGGACTTGATTTTAACTCTCCTCGTCGCCAAAGACGTGCCGCGTCGCTCGCTCGTTGCTGGCTTCTATTGAACTTCATTAGCTTCCAGCTACTTTGATGCTGCCTTCGGTCTAAACGCAAAGGTAAAAGTTGTGTGAGAGTTGTAACCTCAGTCCTCTAGCTACGAGAGGCAAATTAGCGACTGAAGCCTTATTTATACTTCAAGTGATGCATGTAGCTGACTTCATTGTAGGCATTTATACTTGTGTTCTTTCTGTGTCGCTCTGACAAGAACTTTTCTTAAACTCTAGTAGGCATTGGGGTCTCTATGTTCCACGGTTTTTACGCTGCTTTGTGGGTGTTTTGGGTTTTTCGCTAATGTGGAAGTGCTACTGTAGAAGTAGCTCAAATTCAACACGAATTCAAGAAAGAGGATGGAACCGGTAAACATTCAACAACTTTAACCATAAAGTAAATAAAAAAACCAAAGTGTCCATCTGAAGCTCCTTTGCCAGACTTGAGGCTTGTCAAACTCTTTCCACAGGCCTCTATCTGCTCCTGTGACTCTCGGCCCCTCCCACAGCCATCATTAATATCAAACTGACCAATCACAGATCTTGCACTCTTCATGACTTTTTAGGAGGTGCATGTCAAAGGTCCACATCAGGGTATGGCATAGACTACACCAGACCTACATCGTGGACTCAAGACCGAAGTATAACTAGGTTTTTTCACTTAAGGGTGCAGTTTTTGAGACTTTTGTTTGTGTTGCCTATCTGGAGATGCTGGTTTGATATGGAATTTCACATAAGCGCCAAAGCTGCTGTCTTTATGTTGGTCAGAGTGATTCAACACTTTCTGTAATAGTTCTTCATTTTCATTTCGATTTCATGCCTATACTATTGGCTTTCGGACTTTCTTACCACTGAACCTGCTCTGCTAGAGTCTAGAATTTTCTTTTTTAGGCAAGGCATTAAGAGTTATTCAGCTCTTAGATCAACAAGAACCTACTTGCAGTTTTTTTTCCCTTCAAACAGATGCCTGATCACTTAAATTCACTTTTTTCTGGATTTTGCCCACAAGACGTAAAAGTGACCAAACCTTTAAGGTTTTGGTACAACAATAAAGATTTAATTAACTTTTCCACCATTGCCTTTCAAAGGTTCAAGACCCTCTGGAGTACTTCAAACAACATTAACAGATTTGTGTGTGTTGAGCGTCAGTTAAGACGATGTTAGCACCTGTCAGCTTTAATTGTGGGGAAAACTGGATCATTTTGAGCTTTTGTCAGCAAATTTCATCTTCCAGAGTCTTCTTATCCTATGAGAAGGCCCTGCTTCTTAATTATTTATGAGAGCATGTGCTTTCCGAAGGCAAGGCAGACCTGGCAAGCTGTGAGACCCAATGACTGGGTGAGACCACGTCTGTGCATGGCATGGGTTGTGTGTGTGTGTTTGTTTCCATGATCCATGGGGTTTGTTGCATGTTTTCTCCCGCGATTCTGTCAGGGCTGATCAAAGCTGTTAGTTTGCAGCAAACATTTTTGTTGGGAGAGCTGTCAGAAAATTGGAGAATGGCGGACTTTGTGTTTTATCAGTTGAGTTTGTTACCATACAGACACATTGCCTATATCCATGTTGCTGTGGTCGCCATATGATTAAAACCTACAGATTACAAGCAGGGTTAACGGTTGGAATAGACAGGGCAGGAGATCTGCTGTACTGCTATCCACTGTGTCTCCATTCAGACCCGGAGACTGAGGAGGAGAGAAGTCCTCCTCATTTATAGTGTTTATATTAAATTACTTACTGTTTATTTATTTGCATTTTAACTTTGTAAACTATAAAGTCCTGGGTCTCCTTTTTGTGTGTCTTTTTGTGAGCCAACTGACAACAGTTGTTCGCTTCCCTCATGTTTCCATTAGGCCAGAGTTCCTTTGAATCAAACCAAATCAGTCAAGTGTAAAACAGCAGGACTATATAACACACCTGTAATGTTTTTGTGTAACTCATCATCTTCTACTTTCAGTGCCTGTATGAGTTTGGGAATTCCGCCAGCTTCAATAAGAGCCACTTTGTTCTCCATATTCTCGTAGATGAGGTTTCTTGTGGCACCGGTTGCAAAGCGCTGCACCTCTTGGTTGTCACTGTTGAAAAGCTGCACCAGTCGAGGAATTCCCTTTAACTGGTTCACCTGAAAACAACCAAAAAAGCATAAAGGTACTTAACTGAAGAAGCATTTTTGGGCATTTCAATTAAAATCAAATCACTTTTATTGTGCTATGATGAGTTAAAAACTTAGGTGCTGGCTCCAGACAGTGTAAAATACAGACAGTGCAAATACAACAACAAATGTTTACAGATATGTCAGCGCATACCTGTTTTTTGGCATCTTTGTTACTGTAACACTCATGCTGAACGTAGGCGGCGCCCAACATCTGAAGTTCCTGATCGGACTGGTCAAGATAGTTGATGGCAGTAGGCATGTCCAAACTGTTGAGTCTAGGAGGAAACATTAGAGAAAATCAATATAAAAAAGGTATGATGAAGCTTTGGGAGTTAGATTTGCCATTAATAAATATGTTTTAAGTAAAAAAAAATCTAAATATAAAGTACTGACAACTTTTCGACATTTCAAATAAGAATATTATTATTTAGAGTATTTCTTAACAGAAAATGATGTCGGTTTTGACTTCATTTTATATTAGACCAAAAATTAGGGTGACACAGTGGCTAATGGTTGGCACTGTCACCTCACAGCAAGAAGGTCGCTGGATCAAGTCTTGTGTGGAGTTTGCATGTTCTGCCATGTAGGTGTGGGTTTCCTCCAGTTGCTCCGGTTTCCCCCACAGTCCAAAGACTGGCGCTACAGGTGAACTGAATAAACTAAATTGTCTGTAGTCTATGTGTGTGTATAGATGTTTCCCAGTACTGGGTTGCAGCAGGAAGGACAAAATAGGTCTTCCAAACAGACCATGACTCTAAAGCCTGATTTATACTTCTGTGTCAAGCGCACGTATATGCTACGGCGGAGCCTAAGTGTGGACGCATAGCCCTTGGCGTGGCCGTCGGCAATGTTGACGTGCACCTCTCAAATATACGCGTAGCGCAAGCTCTGTGATTGGTCGGCTCGGTATCGCTGATGAGTGCGGGGCAGAGTTGACAGCCGCATGAGCATGATGCAGCATGAGCGTGAGTGTGGAGTCCTGTGAAGGAACTTTAGATGGAGACTTTTGTATTGTGTTTTCCTTATGATTAAAGTCCATCAGTTCCCGCCTCAAAATGAGCAAATTAGAGCCACTTGTACTTTAAGGAAGCGTTCAGAAAAAAACAAAACACCAGTGAAGAAACTTGACACAGAGAAGCATAAACAACTACTGCCAGCTTGTGTTTTGAAAGTGTTATTGCAGAGCAACAGAAACAGTGTGCAGAAGTATAAATGCATGGCTACGCGCAAGTCTTGCACCGTGGATCACGCGATCACTTGACGCAGAAGTATTAACCAGGCTTAAGTATACTGCCAAATTAGTTAAAATGTGCTTTAAGGACAAGAGGGTGAATGCTTTGGAGTGGCCATCACAAAGCCCTGATCTCAATCATATAGAAAATTTGTGGGCAGTGTTGAAAAAGCTTGTGGGAGCAAGACAACAAGCCAACAAATCTGACTCAGTTACATCAATTCTGCTAGGATGAAAGGGTCAAAATTCCTTCAAACTATTGTGAGAAGCTTGTGGAAGGATACCCAAAACATTTGCCTAAAGTTATACAGCTTAAAAGCAAAGCTAAAAAAATACAAGAGAAATGTACATAAACTTTTGACTGTCTAGAAATGTAAAGAAATTCTCTGTTTCTCTCAAAATTCTGGCATTTAGCAAATGTAAATAATTTAGGTAATCCTAAAAAACCTAAAATAGTAAAGGTTTAGTATGATTTACCATCAGACATTTTTTTTTAAAAATGGTTACAGTATGTTCCTTTTTTTAGAGTGTATGTAAACTTCTGGTTTCAACTATATGTGACCCTGGACCACAAAATGTTACACACGTATTTGTGGAAAAACACAAAAATACATTTTATAAGTCAAAGTTATTACATTTTATTTTATTCCAAAACTACTTTTACAATTAAGTAATGATCATCTTCAGTGAATACATTTTGTAAATTCTCTATTGTAAATATATAAAACCCTTATTTTTTAATTGTAATATAGATTTCAAAGAACTTAATTTTGGAAAAAATTTGAGGCAATTTGCTCAATATATAGATTTTTCTGAATCCGCAGATTTTTAAAGTTGTATCTCGGCTAAAGAATTTCTCGTATAAATAAACCATACATGAATGAAAAGCTTATTTATTACACAATTAGATGATTTGAATCTTCAAAAAGTGACAATTACAACTGGTTTAGTCCTTGAGGGTCATAAATGTAATAATTTTATAATCTGACAAAAGTCTTGTCGTCTATCTAGGTTTTTGAACAACAAATAATAACTTGTCTTCTAGCTGATCATTTGGTATCAGAAGTGGCTTAAATGAAAGGCAAAGGCCTCTAGATTAGGCTTATTTTAGAAAAATAAAATATGATCATGTCTTGATTTTTAATTATTTTATTAAGGCAGTAAGGTCTGACTTTGCTAAGGCAAAAGTTTTGTCACTTAACAGAAATAATGTCCAGTAGAGAATATAAAGTCATGATGCAGTGGAAACAGAATGATTATTGTGCATGATTCCTATGAGCTTGAACAACTGCTTCCATACATCTCTGAAACTCAAATAACTTATTAATAAAGTCTGGAATGGCAAAGACAGCTTTCTTGCAGGACTCCCAGAGTTCATCAAGATTCTTTGGATTCATCTTCAATGCCTTCTCCATCTTACCCCTGACATGCTCAGTGATATTCATGTATGGTGACTGGGCTGGCCAATCCTAGAGAACCTTAAGCTTTTTTGCTTTTAGGGACTTTGATTTGGATGCTGAAGTATGAGAAGGAGCGCTTTTTTATATATATTAATGGCAAATCTAAATATCTTATAATAACTAAATAAAGGCCCATTACCTTTTTCCAGCGCTGTATATGTGCAAGCTTATCTTCTTATGTAAATATAATCATCTTAAAATAATTAAAAATAAAAAACTTAAATAATGACGAATGAACAATTGTTTTTGAATTGTTTTAAAGCTCCACTCTATACTCAAGCCTATTAATTAAAATACTTTGGCTACTGTATTAGTAGAGCTTTGACAGGAAATGATAGCTAATAGGGTTGAAGAGGCAAGCCATTTCTTTGCAAAGTGATTAGCTAGTACTTAACCAGCACTTTTGTCCATTTTAAGTGTCAGCATTAGGTTTTGCTCAACAGGACATTCCTACATGCGTGTGTGTGCTGCTGCTGCATGTCACTGGAGTGACAGCAAGTGTGTGTGTGTTTTTTCCCAGGGTGTGTGAATTGTGAAGTGGCTGGACTGGTTTGGGTGTGCCTGCACAACAGACTCGCTCTTCACTTTTTACACACATATAGGCAGGGCTGGGCAACATCAAACACACTTACACATGCATATACACACACACACATAAACACACACTGTTGGTGCAACACACATAGATAAGCCAAGTGTGGGTGTGCGCGCAGGCCATTAAATCAAAGCATGAATCATTCCTGTGTTAACTGTGAGACAAGTAACCATCCTTATTTGCACACCAAGTTAGCATTCTCAATGAAAACAGCACATTTGTAGAGTATTACTTGAGCTGAACTGTGGTATGGCTCAAACAGCTATGGTACGTAATTCAGTGGTTTTCTTTTGGACCAACAGTAATTGGGAAGCGTTGGCGAAGACATGTCATTTGTGGTTCGAAACCTGCTATTTGAGTATTTCAAGTACATTAGGCCTACTTTGAGAGGAGTTTTACACCAATTGTGCGAGCATCCTACTTTTACACACATCTTTAAAGTAATTAAAAGGGATTCACCCACAAATTAAGATATTTTAAAGAATGTTCCTGTTTCCATTGACTCCCATAGTGGGATAAACAAATATCATGGAAGTCAATGCCCAGCAGGCACACAGCATCATCAGAGGTTAATATTAGGTTAGATTTAGGTCAAGACGTCTGGAGACAAAAATTCAATGTCTAGCCTATGTCTAAGGACAATGTTTTTTTGACGGTCAATAACGACGTCAGATATTTGGTTGATTTTATGTTTTGTTGGAAAGTGACCAAAATCCAACATCTGATAGATGTCAGTGGTAACGTCCACACAACGTCAAGGTGTAACATGATTAGACGTTGATATTTGGTTGATTTAGGTTGGACATTGGATATTGACATTGGCCTGGCGTTGGGTTCTGATGTCAACCTGATTTTCATTTCCAAACCAAATTCAACTTCACCTCATTGTTTGGGTACGTTGGGGTACAACGTCAATATGACATCATGTTGACACCCTGTGCCTGCAGTGTGGTTGCATGTTTCCAACATTCTTCAAAATATCTTCATTTGTGTTTAACAGATGAAAAAGAAATGCAAACAAATTTGGACTAACTCAAGAATGAGTAATTGATGACAAAAAAAGTCATTTTTGGGTAAACTATCCCTTTAAGTAGCCCAATTTCATCTTATTTTGATAGCAGACATGCTTTGATTTTAATTAGTATGACTCCAATCTTTTGTTGTGCATGGTTTAAAGATACATACAGTTGAAGTCGTAATTATTGTTGCATTATTATATGGCTAATAATTCTAACTTTAACTTTACATATGATAATGCAGAAGACACTTGATGCCAACTGCTTAAATAAGTTAGATAAAATTAAAAATGCAAACATCTTGGGCATCTATATTGTCAATAAATAAAATTGACCACTTTTTTACAGAAAAACACCTAGAATAACATTGAAATAATATGCTATAATTTGCTCAGGGAATGTTGGATGTAGACAATATATTTTTAAAGTAAAAAACATCATAGCATTTATTAAAAAAAACTTCATGAGGTTTTGTTTTTAATAACTGAAATGTTTCTGTCTGTTCATATGTTTTTAGACAAAAATATATTTTAGATTATACTGAAGCTTCAGGCTCTCCTGTTTAAAATGATATATGACATTTGAGGCTGACATAAAAATAAAACTGCTTTTTTAAAACAATAATAAAGGCCCATTATGGGGCCAAAAAATAGCTAACAAAACAGTTGTGGTGACTTTGGAATTATTCAGTTAATAACACTTAAAGGTGCTTCACACAATGAAAGAAAATAAGATTTATCTTTGTAGGCATCAATAATTAACTCAATGGTTGGATGCCAAACGTTAGACAAAAAAACTGTGTCTAAGTCTGGTAAAAACTTTATGAGTCTTTATGTAACACCCACGTGAATAGAAAGACAGAGAAAAAGATTGTATTGTCCTGGATTTTCATTTGACAGCTTTGTAAAACAAAGTATATAAACTTGCGAATCAGGTCTATGCATTTTAATTTGATGAGCTATGATTGGTGCTCAGCATTTGTAAACAACTGCTTTGCATTGTGAATATAACAACAACACCCATTAAAGTCTTCATGACAACAGTCTACGCACATTTTCCAGCTGCACTGGTTTTACAATATACCAGTGCTTTAATAGATTTTTTAATTCATTAATTTTTCTTTTTGGCTTTGTTTCTTTATTAATCAGGGGTGAATGAACCACCAATACACTCTTGCATTCACACATGAACACTACGGCCAATTTAGTTTGTTCAATTCATCTATACCACATGTCTTTGGGCTGTGGGGGAAACCAGAGCACCCAGAGGAGAAACACACCAACACGGATGGAATATGTAAACTTCACACAGAAATGCCAACTGACTCAGCCGGGGCTTGAACCTGTGACCTCCTTGCTGTGAAATGATTGTGCTACCCAATGCATCACAGTGACGTGATGCCCCTTAGATTTTTTTTATAAATCAAAATTGTAACTTTTTTTTCCTTTATCTTCTACTGAAGTGACAAGACTTCTCTAGCTGTACGCTTTATCCATCCAATCAGCAAAGCAACAGTAATATTAATAATAATAATAAAGGTGGCGCAGTAGGTAGTGCTGTCGCCTCACAGCAAGAAGGTCGCTGGTTCGAACCTCAGCTCAGTTGGCGTTTTTGTGTGGAGTTTGCATGTTCTCCCTGCGTTTCCGTGGGTTTCCTTTGGGTGCTCCGGTTTCCCCCACAGTCCAAAGACATGCGGTACAGGTGAATTGGAGAGGCTAAATTGTGCGTAGTGTATGAGTGTGTATCTGGATGTTTCCCAGAGATGGGTTGCGGCTGGAAGGGCATCCGCTGCGGTTCATTCTATTGTGGCGACCCCGGATTAATAAAGGGACTAAGCCAACAAGAAAATGAATAAATGAATGAATAATAATAATAATTCCATACATTTATACAGCGCTTTTCATGACATGCATGGTTTTTTGTTTTTAATATTTAGCAGCAACCAAAGCAACAGGATAATATAAAATAAGTGTGACTCTGGACCACTAAACCAGATTTACATTCATTCATTCATTCATTCATTCATTTCCTTCGGCTTAGTCCCTGATTATCAGGGGTCACCACAGCAGAATGAGCCGCCAACTACTCTGGCATATGTTTTATGCAGCTGATTTCCTTCCAGCCGCAACCCAGTACTGGGAAACAACCATATACTCATTCTCACACACACACTCATTCACTAAGGCTAATTTGATTCATTCATTCATTTTCTTGTTGCTTAGTCCATTTTAAGGCCAATTTAGTTTACCCAATTCACCTATAGCACATGTCTTTGGACTGTGGGGGAAACCAGAGCACCTGGAGGAAATCCAAGCCAACACGGGGAGAATATGCAAACTCCACATAGAAATGCCAACTGGCCCAACCAGGGCTTGAGTCAGTGAAATTCTTGCTGTGAGGTGACAGTTGAGCCACCGTGCCACCCACCAGGCATACAGTAAGTGAAATTGAGATTTATAAGCTTTCTTCTCCTCAGTGTCAGTATTCATGTGTTGCCTCTGCTTTGTTTCAAACAGAGGAAGTTGTTTACATCACTTGCATAGTGCTCAGGAATGTGCACAATATACTAACACAGAGTAGATGAAACGGCTAATTATATAGTTTTTGTTTAATGCGCCACAGTATTTTTATAGCCTGATAATATTAAGAATAACATAAAGAATGTTTTATGGGCATTTTTTTTAATTCTTGATCCTAGTTTATTAGGGTTGTCAAAATTAATTGTATTACAAATAATAGATTAATATTAATATATTTATAGATATTAATCTAAAAAGTTCTTGTGATATGAAGAAAAAATCTAATTATGTATGGAAAGCATTATCAATGCACCGTGATGCACCGAGATATCAAATTGAACCAAATCGATGGCATGATAATCATAACCAAACCAAACCGTGAGACCACACCCCCATTGTCTATGGAGGATGAGGGAGAGAGAGAGAATTTTGTGTTTATTGCCATTTCAGCTTTGGCTATGTCATGGCAAAAAAAAAAAAAAAAAAAACGGATTAAGTTTACCAGATTTTATAAATACCACTTTTCTATAGTTATAAAGAATATTCTAACAATTAAAAGTCACCAACAGCAATAAATAATACACAAGGTAAAATACATAAATAATATTAATTATAATATACAAGATAAAATCCAAAACAGTTTTTTAAGGTTTTACTTTTGATAAAAATTTAAAAAAAGATTCACATTTAAAAATATTTTATTTAAAGTCTGAAAAAAAATTGTTGTATAATATGCTGATAATATTAAAAATAGGGCATTCCACAATAATATATTTTACAAATAAAACAGTTTGGTTGCAATATTGACATTTTGGTTGGTCTTCTCCTTTAAGCAAATGTTTATGTGTGAGTTTAGTGTGTCTAATGCAGCATCATCTATAAACAATCTCATCGTGTCTTGAGTTAAAACAAATAAAAGAGATTTTCTTCCTATTTCTGGCTGAATATCAAAAAGCTTATTTTTTTAGCATTTAGAGGATGAGGGAGCTTTTAGATTTTACCTAACATATCTTGATATGTGTTCTTAAGATGAACAAAGGTCTATGGCGTTTCGACCGACATGAGGGTGAGTAATTTAAGAATGTTACTGATTAGCTGAACTTTTACTTTAAATGCTGAACATAAACCTATGTGGATGAATAGATCTCAAAGGAAATGAAAGTCTTCTTACCCACTCAGATTGCCCATGCTGCCAGCCATGTCCATGCCATCGAACACGTCCTTGCCTCTCCCAACACTATGGATGCTCCTGACGGAGCCAGCACGCGATAGCCTCCCCTGCTGCATCATGTACAGGTTCCCCTGGGAGCCGCTGAATCCCCCGCCACTTCCGAACATGCCAGACTGCACACTGGACGTCCGAAGGGTTTGCCGATTGTTAATGCGGCTGATGGTGCGGTGAGCTGGGCCTTTGAAGGACTGTCGGCTCACATACACCTCCTGCTCCACAGCACCTCCTCCTCCTCCTCCACTGCTTGTAGCAAGCGTCCCACTGAGGGAGCGTTTCATGGTCGGCAGAGTCATGGAGCTGACCTGCTGCTGCGCACTTTCAAATCCATTCATATTTGAGTTGGAGTACATGGACTGGCGTGGGTAAGTGTTGGCGGCGTAGCCATTGCTCATGCTCCGCTGTGTATAAGTAGCGTCGCGTTCTGAAACCATGCTGCCATCGCTGTCTTCCTGAGCCACCCAAGAAGAAACAACCTGCTGTGGTATGGCTGACACGCGCATGGAGTGCATGGATAAGGTCTCTGGGTCACCCCCCATTCGGCTCAGGGAACGGGTCACTTTGTTGACCTGCTGCTGTTGAACTTGGCCGCCACTAATTTGATAACCGCCACTCTGATACCCGCCACCACCATAGTCACCGCTAGCAAAATCTTCTTGGTAATATGAGCTACCGCCACCACCACCTCCTCCTGCTGTGTAACTCATTTTGGCTCTTGGGGTGAACTCAACGGCAGAGCGGGAAGAGAAACCACCGCTCAAGTACTGGGATGGACGCTGGGCCTAATAGGAGAAGAAAATTAAATAGTTAATACTTTTTTAATGCAATTATACATAGATGGTCATAAATGTAATACATATATTTACTAATGAAAGCTGAAACAACACAATTCTTGAGGGTTTTTTTGGGGGGGACCAACTTAATCATTTAATCCACTTTATGTTCAATCTACCTAAATTTGTCAAATCTAATAGGTTAACTTAATTCATTCATGTTGTCCCAACTTAAATTGGTTGTGTGGAACCCAGCATTTTTACAGTGTATATATAAAAATAAGGTAAATAAATGAACAATACACCCAAAAAATGAAAATCCTGCAATACTTTACTTGTTCAACAACCATATTTGAGTGAGTTACTGGCACCAATTGACTTCCATTGTATTTTCGACTATGGAAGTCGATGGGTGCCAGTAGCATTCTTCACAATATCTTCTTTGTGTTTAACAGGGGAAAGAAACTTCTAAAAGTTTAAAAAACACATGAGGGAGAATAAATTCACATTCACACTCACATTGCTATCGCGCCTGAGCACACTTACATCATCAACACTGCGTTGTTCAGTTTAAGAATTGTTATCGCTCAGCACAGTGGAGATTTCTCTAGTTATATTGTTCCAGTCGTTTGGGATGCAGTGACATGCAGTCAAATATTTCGCCGAACAGATTTTGACGCTCATAAACAATCATAAAGTCCTCGTGCTGCAGGAATTAGGAGGTTTGCTAAAGGTGCAGCTGCCGTGCAGTGAAGGGTTTGCATCTTTAATAATCTATGACAGTTTGCATTGATTGAACAGAAAGAATGATTAATAAATCTATATGAAAAAGTCACGTCTCGTCTTCAGTTTCTGCTGCGCTTTGCACTCACACTACAAGCGTACTTGAGCCCAAGTGAACCGCGCTCTGGCACACCTCTTCCAACCAGGCCAGGGCAGGCTAAGTAAACCGCGCTTGAGCCTGATTCAGACCACTTATACTTCTCAAATGACGGGCCTGGGCACGGTCCGGATAGCATAGTGCGAATACGCCCTAAGTTACCTTTATGAGGTGATAATTGCATTGTTTTGGTAACACTTTATTAAAGGTGCAGTAGGTGATTGTCTTCAGAAACATGTTTTATTGTGCTGGTCTCTTCACAGTCCAATAGTAATGATTACAGTAAATGATCTAAATGTGTTTATATGTATTTTTATATTCTGGGTAAGGCATAAAACAAAAAAAAATGTTCATCCAATACAATATTGTTGGGCCGACATCTCCCATAATTTCAAATAAGTAGCTTAAACTGTCTGTCAGCAAATGTAGATTCAGACTTCTGCGCATCTTTGTTCATGCAGATTCACCATTTGTGCCTGTCTACCTGCATGAGCGCCACATGCACACGAGACAATCACAGACAAGGTAATATCAAATGCTGAATTGAAACTTTTTAAAAATCTAAATCAACATTGGAGTTACTTTTGCACACTGGAGGAAGGATTACACACTGGCTGAAGTATTACTGTTAGACAGGTAATGTTCTGTTATAAAACTCTTTTAGTCAGGCTAAGCTTATGTTACATTGTGAAGTTATGAATGGCTTACTGTATATGCACACAAGTGTAGTTCAGCCACCGAAATCTCCTGGCGAAAGATTGATGTGACTATTTTTAGTTCTATACGGGACCTAAAGCATCGATAATGTAGATTTGTATTTAGTTTAACAGCATCAGTAAATAGCGCTAGTCTGACTAGCCTGCTTTCCTGAGCTGAAGTTGCTTTTATATTCACATTGGTTCCCTTTTGAACAATGACAGCCTCCCTATACTGCTTACCACGCTAGTCTGAATATTTGCTCTGAAATAGCATGCAAGTATGGCTTAGTAATAAATGTAATTCTTGCACGCTGCCGGCCAACTACTAACTAACTGGCGAATGACATGAACTAGTGGGTTGACTGCTGTTGTGATGCGGTGCTCGCGTTCGCAATTTCAAAGTCCCTCCCCGCAGTCTAAAAATAATATGCTGAGCAGTTTGCATTTTGGCAGATCACCTACTGCACCTTTAAGGTACAATTCTGGCTATTAATAAACTCAACCTAAGAATTTCAGCTAAATAAAGTATTATTTGACGCTTATTAATAGGTATGGTGGGATTTGGCACTTAAATTAAAGCTTTAACATTATTTTTAAACCATTTAACTAATTTACGTGATTTCTGATCACTGTAATGTAATGTAATGTATTTTTTATTTAGTGCCATGTCAGCAACCAAGGCTATCTTCATGGCAGGAATCTTTCAACAATAAATATACAATTTAAAAATCAACAAACAAAATAAAACATAAATTAAAAAAGATTTTTTGTGTTAATACATGATAAAAATTCTAAAATCTTTTCTGGTTTCACTTTGTCAAAAATGTCCTTAAAAGAGTTCATTTCATAAAAAGTCCTTCTGGAATCAGTAAAAGCAGGACAGTCCAGTAAAATATGTTTTACAGTAAGAGGAGTTTTGCAGCACAAACACTGAGTAGAGATTTCACCTTGGAGCAAAAAGATTTCTGATCACTTTTAATGTAATACAGGTCATTGAATTTTATGTTGAATGCATTTAATTTAGGTGCCACTTAATAGAAACACAACATGACAAATGACACTCAGAGATTTTTTAACTTGTGACTTTTCGTATGGGGTTGATGGTTCATGCTGACCTGTGAAATGTCACACTTAAACACCACAATCTCCATTCCTCACTCATTTTTCAGTGTTTGGATAAGATAGACACCCATGCAGTCACATCACACAAACAAAAAGATTTCTTTACTTGGCTCAATTGGTTCTATGTCTTTTAAACAAGTATTGCCTGTGTTTATAAATATAAAGAAAGTGTCTTACCACTATTTGTCGGCCAGACGAGTTGACAAAAGATTTCGAGCTGAAACTCGGGATAAAGTTTTGTCCCACTGTTGAATATTTTGTCATTGTTGAATAATTACCAGACTCTAAAAAAACAGAAAAATACAGATGATTAATAAGTGAAGATTTGGAGTGAGTAATCCTCCCAGTGAACTCTCTCAATGTGGCTTCACATTCTGCACATTTCTAAACACAAGTGTCACACAGAACAGCACAGATATAATGTATTTAATGAAACCATTAACAAACTCTTATGTTTCACATATTTAGATCCGTTTATGTTGCTTTTGTGCGCAAACAAGAATGTTTGATCTTTAAATGCCACAATTAAGCAAAACAAGTGTTTATCATCGATCTAGTAGTTTATGATATTTTTAAAGCAGGTTTGTGATCATCAAATGTGCGTGTTTGTTTTCAAATGGACACATTTATCAGATATATTTGTTACCTTGTGTTTATTAAAGCTTTGTAAAAATTTTTAAGTAAACATGTTTGTTCTTTGCTTAAACAATTAAACAAATATGTTGTTGTTTTCACTTTAGCCTTCCTTATGATGCCTTTGTGCTATTCTGTACACAGACAAGCATGTTTGTTCTTTAAATGCAACAATTAAGCAAAACAAATGTCGTTTATCATCGATCCAGTAGTTTATGGTATTTTTAAACCAAGTTTGTGATCGTCACATGTGCATGTTTGTTTTTAAATGGACAAATACAGTTGTGTAGTTGAGTTTATTAAAGCTTTGTAAGATTTTAAAGTAAACAGGTTTGCTCTTTGCTTGAAATATGTAATTTTTGAATCTTTGTTTATTTTGCCTTTGTATGCAAGTCTGTACACAAGCATGTATGTTTGTTCTTTGATGTGACTATTAAACAAAGCAAGTGTTGTTTATAATCAATCTAGTAATGTTTATGATATTTTTAATGTAAGTTTGTGATCATGACGTGCATTGTTATGTAATTGATAAAATAAATGTCTCAGTTGTGTTTTTATTAAAGCTTTTGTAAGAATTCTAAGTAAACAGGTTTGTTCTTTGCTTGAACAATTAAAAAAATATGTTGTTATTGTTTCACTTATAAGCCTTGCTTATAAGGCCTTTGTGAGCAAGTCTACACAAACATCCATGCTTGTTCTTTATTAAACAAAACAAGTGTTGTTTTGTTTACCTTTATTCAAGTTTATGTGGCTTTATGTGCGAGTTACCAGTTAAACAAATGTTTGCATTTTACTTAAAGGGATAGTTCATGCCCCAAAAGATATTTTGAACAATGCTACACTGTAAAAACAAAAATTTTAATTAACAGTTTCCATGTTTTGTGATTCACAAGTTTTTTTCTGTTTATTTAAGATTGTGAATTGCATATGGGACCTTGATCTCTGCTCCATTGACATTTGACGTTAAAAAATTCAACTACAGTTTAAGTGACTTTTTTTGACATTTTAGCTGTTTGAAATTATATAAGATATAAGACATAATATATAGAGAAATAAGTCTGTAAAATAACAGAAAGTGTACTGGCAGGTTATTGCAAGATTTTTTATTATTGTAATATACAACACCAACCCAGACAATATATCACTTTAAACTACTAAAATTATTAATAAAAGTCACTTTTTCAAACTATTCAAGGTTAAAAAATAATGTTGGAAAAAGCAAAACTAAGCATGGAAAAATAAAAACACGAATCACAAAATACAGAAAACTGCTAATTTACAGATATTTTTACGTCTTCCATTATAAGAAACAAACTCAAAAAGGTTTAAAACCACATAAGGGAAAGTAAATGATGAGGTCATTTTCATGTTTTGGGTGAACAATCCCTTTAAGCCATGCATATGATACCCTCCTACATAAGTTTTTTTTAGCATGGATGCCTGCTCAAATTAAACAACTTTAAAGAAATATATGATCATTTTGTTTGATAAGAGTTTATAATGCAGTCTTATTTGAGTGAAATGCACAGCAGTTTGTATGTACCATTCGCTGTGAGAAATGAGTTACAGGTGGTCAAATGTAAAGAATTACTGCCCCGTAAAGGCGTCAAGTCTATAACTTTACAGTGAAGTGAGTATGCTCAGCATGTGTCTTTGATAGCACTGCAAGTTCAAGGAAACCTTACAGAGCTCCATGAATTACAGCAGTGCAAGTTTACAATTTTACAGGTTTTTTTCTGTTCTGGCGCTGAAACAGATGCGGTTAAGGTTTCCAAGTTTGTTTCATCAAAGACTGCATCTACGGGCATGCATGTACGCGTTTGAGTATGTGAATTAGGGAGTGTTTCATAAGTGAAGAAGTGTAAAATGAGTTGTAGACGGGAGGCGGCAGAAAAAAACAGAACCGGTCTGATGAGACACTCCCAGTGTCCCTACCCAAAAAGCACACACCCTTACTGCCCTGCCTCACCCTGCCCTTCTGCAGTACTTTGAATTATCTGAAATAAACAAGTAAGACCTAAAAGCTTGTGATATATGCTTGATACTTTGCCAACGCCAGATCTACACTGTGATTTCAACTGTTAAAAATGCTCCAGTAATAATTTGCAACATTAATTTACCTGTACATACAGTAAATAACTGTACATTGACTGCATGACACTTCTCTTTTCATGCTGTTTTTTTAACATAACCATATGGTTGTGTTTTTGTCTGTGTAACAAAGAATATGATGCGTAGATGTCAGTACTGGTGTATTAACAGTGTGAATTAATAAAATACGGTTGTTTACTGTTAAAATGTATACATTTATTTCATTATTTGTACATTGTTTTTTAATGATAAAATACTGACAACCACATCTTAATTTTTTATTATTACTATGGATTTTATGGTATTTTGCCAACAGCAGATCTCGATTTCGACTGTCAGAAATGCTCCAGTAACAGTTTGTAACATTAATTTACCTGTATTTGTGGTAAATAACTGTAAATTCATATAGTTCCCTGCATGACACTTCTCTTTTTATGTTGTTTTTTTAAACAGAACCATATGGTTGTGTTTTTGTCTGTGCAATTAAAAATATGCGTAGATGTTGGACTAGTGTATTAACAGTGTAAATTAATGAAATAACTTGTAACCACAGCTGTCCATTTCTTTTAACTATTATTTCTTTTATGGTATTTTGCAGTTATTTAGACTGTTAAAAATGTACCTGTATATATAAGGTGAATAACTGTAAATTCACATTTTTTCTGCATGACACTTCCCTTTTCATATGTATGTGTGTAACAAAGAATAAGATCAGTAGATGTTAGTACTGGTGTATTAACATTGTGAATGAATGAAATACTGTTGTTTACTGTAAAAATTTGAAATCTATTTGATGGCTTGTATTATTATTTTTTTTTTATTTTTATTTTTTTTTACATGAATTTTATGGATTTTTTTCTAACAGCGTCGTTTTCAGACAAGGGAGCTTATTTTTTCTTTTTTCTTTTTTTCCAAGACGTGGTATTCATTTCCTCCAGACAGCTCTTGAAACAGAAGGTTTAAGGCTGTTGTAACTTGTTAAAACACTGGTAAACCTCATAAGCCGTGGGGTCCAGTGTGTGGTTAAACCTGGAGAATACCTGCATTAGACCCGCATAAAAGCAGAAATTCCAGCAATCAGGCTTGACCACTCAATTCAACCAGATTCTAAATGTTGCATTTACAATTGTATAGCATTGGAGACGGCCAATATACTGTAGGCTTAAAATTATATCAAAATATTTTCTGGTATTTATTGCTATGACAATATAATTCAGATGTATCAACTGAGAGACAAACATATGGAGCCAGATCAGTCTCAAAATGAATACATTTACAAAATAAAATTCCTACACGCACAGCACAATTCACATTTATAAAATCCAATTTTAAAAAATTATATGTTTTTCCATTGAATAGGATTTGTGTATTCCTGAATCATGTTTTTAAATTTACGAATTGCATTTTGTAAATGTGAATTGTGTTGTGGATTGGGTATGAATTTTATTTTGTTAATATATTATTTTTGAGACTGATCTGTCTCCATACAAAAAAGGTCATGTATCGTTAGAGAAAAGTATCAATTTTCTTTTTATTTATGGTTAATTAATTTTATTTGTATTAAAAACTAATTAAGACTAACTGAAAAGGCATCTGATATAAATGCTGCGGTGAAAGAAAGAATTGGATCAAATATGAATATAATTAACAAACGCTTGTGGCAAAAAAGTCATCCTGGATATTTTATAATCATAAAGGAAGTTTTTTTTCCTCAAAACAAGCACAATTATCTGCCAATGGGGTAAGCAAAATAATCTTTTTTCAAAGCAAAAGCAAAATTAGTTTGCTTGTTTTAAGGAAAAACTTAAGAAAAAAACTTGACTCATTATTTTTGAAATCAAAACAATGTTTTTTTGCTTCTTGATTTAAGAATATTCAGAGATTTTTAAAAATTAATTTTGCAATGTAATACTACAATAATTAATCTAGCCAATATCGCTGTATTGAACTCTATATAATTGTATGAATTCTTGCTCATTCTGTAATATGAAACCAAATCGGGTAAGAAAAGAGTTTTTAAAAACTTTTTAAGACTGCTAATTATGTAAAACAAAAAGAAATGGGTTTTGAGATCTCATTTGCAGAGTTAAAGATCTCCTGCATTGAGACGCATGTCTGATACTGAACTGCAATACATAAAAAGAGTGAAAACCAGGTTTTCTTGAACTTTAGGTCTATTTATGGTCGCATCTTGTGACATGACGCCCTGTTTTTGGTTCATTTACATGTCTTTGGCCTGTGTTTTGTTCATATTTCAGTCAATATGCGCACAGCTTGTTTGACTTGTTTTAATCTAATCAAATTTGCCAAGTGTGAACACACCCTAAATTTATTTCATTTAATTTTACATTATATTTATATTTTTTTGTAATTTAAATGACATTACATTTATCGTAGTTTATTGTACCTTTATGTCCAGTCTTTTATATTGTGCATTGTTATATTGTGTAAATTATATTGTGAACATCAATGAACCAGGGCCGAATGCAAAACAAATCAACAGAACCAAAACTACAGAAGCGAACACACCCTAACTTCACTTCTGAGCACAGAGCGCACTAAAACTAAATAGTTTTGCAACTACAAAGTAAAACTCTCAGGTTACATTCTTTACTGCAACATCATAACATTTGATATTCACACTATTATTGTCGGACCATGCTACCTTCCTCTTGTGCAGTGCTAAGCACTTTTTTTTTTGTCATGAATGGGTTTGGTTTTCAAAGGAGCGCTTTGAAACTTTCACTCTCACTAGACGCGTAGCAGGAACTGAGATTACACTTGAACTTTGTTCAGCTCGCCTCTGTAAATAATTAACTCGAGCCATACGCTGCATTGTACAATCTCCATATCAATATCTTTCAAAACAATTATATTTGTGTTCATTTACTTAACTCTGCCTCTGATTATATAAAAATAATTTATGAGGGAATGGACAATTTATGCTAACATTGATTGTTGAGTCATGACATGATTTTTTTTTATAACCAACTGAAACAAAGACGCATGCAATTTAAAAAGTTAAGGTTCTTTGTTGGTTTTTTTATATTATAAAATACTTTCTATCAAACAATGAGCTCTTTATATTGAAATCAAACTTTGTTTATTATGAAAATGTAATTCAGGATAAATTTTATGGTTTGGCTTAAAGATTACATCCAGTAACACTTCACGATAGTAACTATTGGCTTATTACCTGCCTATTATGAGGATATTAACTGTTCAATAGTAGTTGTAAAGTATGATCCCTAATACTACCAAAAACCTAAACCCAACTTATACCTTACTATTAGTAAACAGTTAATTAGTAGTTTACTAGCTAGTAGTAGTTAGTTAATTGTTTGTTAATACCACGAATTGCGACAAACTAAAGCGTTACTGTTTCTGTAATTCTGACAGATTTAAAGCGATAGTTTACTCAAGACTCAACATTTTAGCAGCATTTACTTATTCCAAACCTGTTTGACTTCACTCGACCACAAAAGAAGATATTTCGAAGAAAGCTGGAAGCCTGTAACCATTGACTTCCATTTGTTTTTCCTACTATGGAAGTCAGTGGTTACAGGTTTTCATCATACTTCAAAATATCGCCTTTAGTGTTCAATGGAAGAAATAAACTCATAAAGGCTTGAAAACCACTTTAGGATGAGTAAATAGTACGTTTATTTTCATTTTTTTTAGACTCACTTTATGTTGAGACGACTAGAAAAAAAAAGAACCCTAACCCTTAATATTTGTAGTGATTTTGACAGATTTAAAGATAGAATGTTTAGTTTTGAGTGAACTCTATCATTATTTACTCAGCATTTATGTTTTCCAAACCTGTTCAACGTTGTTTTTTCTGTCGAATGCAAAAGAAGATACTTTGAAGAAAGCTGCAAGCCTGTAACCATCGACTTCCATTTGTTTTTCCTACTATGGTCAATGGTTACAGGTTTTCAGTGTTCTTCAAAATATCGTCTTTAGCATTCAACAGAAGAAATCCACTTTAGGTTGAGTAAATAATAAGTTTTTATTTTATTTTTTGTTAACTGACTCACTTTAAGTTGAGACAACTAGAAAAAAATAACCCTAATCCTAACTAAAATTCAACAAAAAGTTTTTTTACAGTGTATAGTTATTAAAAAATTAGACATTGTGTTCACATGCCTTGTAGGATATTTAGTCATTCTGTATAGCTAAATAACATCACGTGATCACAGTTTTGCCACAGGCATTAGTCTCTAAATATTAAAAAATTTGCATGCCGAAGTGTAAACAACACAACGCAGCCGTGTGCGTGTGAATTTAATAATGTCATATTTACTAATTATATCAAAGGCTAATCTTCGGTCCTAAAGAGTTATAACTCATCATTGTTAAATATGAAAGCACACACCGTACAAAGCGCAGAGAGTCAGCCTGACAGATGATGAGCAGATTAATAATGCAAAGGCTGTTATTGTTGCCGTATTACAATGAGATCAAAGCGGATGATGATGATGACACACCTGAGGACGCGTATTGTGACGAAGAGCCGTTCTGGCGCGGGAGCGTGGATTTCTCCGCTAGTCTCATGGACACCTGCTGTTGCATGCGCTTAAATCTGGATTCCTCCTTGTGCGACCCGAGCTCGTTCTCGGACGGGACCGCGTACGTGCTGACGGTAGAGTTGGGCTGCAGCGCCGAGAGAAAGACGCTCTCCGAAGTCACACTCGTGCTCATTGTGAAGCGAGCTGAACAGCAAAGATAGGAAAGTTACAGTCCACCAAACCGGAGAGTGGGAAAAAAAAACAAGTCCTCACGGGTGAAAACAAAAAACGCACCTCCGGTTAGTTAGCGAGTGTTTCAGAGCGCTGACGCTGGAACTTCTGAAGTCTGAACGCAACTCTGCGGCTTTTTTCGCAGGTGGGAGTTAAAAATTGGGCGGAGTTTGCGCTGAGTCACCTGAGATACCTGATGCAGGTAAACTCAACAGACAATAGGAGGCTCTCTATATTTGTATTTTCGCATGTAATGGTGTTTTAAATGGCGCTTGGGTAGATAAAATGGAAAGATATGAAAGATTTACTGTAATTATATAAAAAATCCAGTTCACCTAAAAAAATCCAATCCAGTCCTCTACTTATGTTTAGTTTTCACTCAAAAAAGACTTTTGATACTTGTTCAAACTACTTATTACAAATGAGTTTAAACAACATTATTCTTTTGTTTTTCGAGGGGACAACTTAATTGTTTTATGTTCAATCCACTTACATTTGTAAAAACGATTTAAAGTTAACTTTATTTGTGTTGGGACAACATAGAGGAATTGTGTGGAACCCTGCATTTTTTTTTACACTGAAAAAAGTTGCAATGTATGTTGAAACTTTACTATAGGTATGTTGTTTGTTTCAGCCCATAAATTGTTTGCAACAATTTTGCAAAAATCATTTTTTAGTGTACAGTGTTATAGGCTAATATTAACAACAACAACAACAACAACAACAACAACAACAACAATAATAATAACAATAATAATTATCATATTAATAAATTAATAAAAATATAATTATCATTATTATTATTATTATTATTATTATTATTATTATTATTATTATTATTATAAGAAGAAGAAGAAAAATATATAATATTATTATTACTATTATTATTGGCAGTAGTAGTATAGTGGTAGCTTAGCCGGTAATATTCTCAATCAACAGATTGGGCTGTAGAACAATTAAACATAATATATATGCATTTTTATTGTAAATATAATTAGTAAGTCAATGACATAAACAAACCACGTGTTTATTTATTTATTTATTTATTTATTTATTTATTTATTTATTATTGTATATAGATGTGATGTTTTTGCCCAAATGAAATAGAATTTCTGAAACATACATAGACAGACAGGCAGGCAGGCAGACAGACAGACAGATGGATAGACAGACAGACAGACTATTTTTTGAAGTTGGTGTTTATTTATTTAAACATTTTTTTTAAATAAATTGTGCAAATTTGTTAGATTCATGAAAGTATTTTTACAACTACCTGATAAAAACAAATCTGTGGTTACATGGACATCTAATGACACATGTATTGTGACTACATCTATTGGACGTTTTCATTAAATTGGCAAATGCTAAACTCTGACGTTTATAATGTTCTTTCAGACATGTTGACATCAGCGTGAAGTGAAAGTCTGCAGGGAATGTGCTCTGGCATGCAGGTGACGTTCTCTATCTGTTTGCACAAGTTGCTGTTGTTGAATCGTTGCCTAGCATTGTGAGGAGCAGACGCAGCAGATCTGTCTGCAGTCATTCACAATAATCTCAAGTTTCATCTTTGTATTGAATCAGTTTAAATTTAGTCAAACTGTACTCTGTTAAAAACAAAACTGTAATATTTACAGTGACAAACAGGCAGCTGTGGTTGCCAGAACTGTACTGTTAAAATTATGGTAGAATTGAAAAGTACGACACACGGCAAATCATAATTTTTTGATTAAGTGGCTAATTCATATGAATTTGTATGATCTCATTCGTACATTCGTATTTAGTATGATTTGCTTATCCCGCAATGATGGTTGGGTTTAGGGGTGGGGTTAAATGCCACTCCTCCTTTATAAAATTTTACATTTTCATACGACTAAACTCATGACTGACTGAATTCATATGAGTTAGCCACTGACAAAATGTAAAGTTACATTTCCTCGTGATCAGGAAAAATAATGTTTGAAATTTTATAGTAAACTACCATATTTCATTATTTTTTAGTATTTTACACCAGTGTACTAACATCTACAACTATACTTACATCTACACTTCATACATGTTGTTACACAGACAAAAACACAACCATAAGCAGATGATGATGAGAAAGTCACATGATCAACCAAAGCTCATCACAAACAACTTTTCCCTCAAGCACTAACATATAGAAGATGCGCAGTGTCATTCACAAAAATACTAAACACCATCATGGAAACACACATAAAATTCAAATAATCTAATAAACATTTTTTTTCTACATTAGATGTAGCATAAAACTCCAATGTACATTACTGTAAAAAAAAACTTTAAAAAGCCTTAATGTCAACAAAAAGGCATAAAAAGTAAAGTGTCATCCAGGGAATTCTGGGAAAGTCAATTTATAGTTATTAAAGAAACGTACTGTTAACAGATTTATACTGTAGCATTTTTACAATTAAAAATTAAATTTTTTGACTTTTGCTTTCTATGAAACTCAAATCTGATTAAAATCATGTTATTTTCCAACCCAATTTCAACCAGAACTCTGTTTAAATTTAATCACATAGTACACTGCAAAAAATCTGTAAAAACTGTTTTATTTACAGTGACAAACAGGCAGCTGTGCTTGCCAGAACTTTACTTTTAAAAATACGATAAAAAAAAGAAAAATACCACACAATCTCACGGCAAATCATAACTTTTTTTGATTAAGTGGCTAATTCATATGAATTTGTACGATCTCATTTGTACAATTTAGTATGATTTGCTTATTACCCAATGATGGTTGGGTTTAGGAGCGGGGTAAGCTGCTACTCGTATTTTCACACAACTGAACTTGTACAAATTCATTAGCCGTTAATCTGGCAAAATGTAAAATAGTTACGTTTCCTCGTGAGATCAGAAAAAACGATGACCGTATTTTATTATTTAGTATTATACACCAGTGTTTTGAACTACGAACATCTACGCCTTATACCTTTTGTTACACAGACAAAAACACAACCATAAGCAGGTGATGATGAGTAAGTCATATGATCAACTAAAGCTCATCACAAACAACTTTCCCCCAAGCAGAGACACACTAATATAAAGAAGATGCTCAGCGTCATTCAAACAACAACTAACACCATCATGGTAACACACATAAAATTCAAATATTCTATTAAACATTATTTATCAACATTAGATGTAATATTAAAAAGCTAAAAAAAAATCATAGTAATGTCATCAAAAAGGCATAAAAAGTGAAGTGTCATGCAAGGAATTCTGGGAAAGGCAATTTATTGTTATAACAATAATAATAATAATTGCTTACATTTATATAGCGCTTTTCTGAGCACTCAAAGCGCTTTACACATAGGGGGAATCTCCTCATCCACCGGCAGCCATTTTGCGCCAGACCGCACACCACACACCAGCTGATTAATGGAGAGGAGGCAGAGTGATAAAGCCAATTATGATATGGGGAGGGTTAGGAGACCATGATGGACAAAGGCCAGTGGGCAGAATTAATTTTAATGAACACAGAGAGTCAGGACATCGGTTTAACGTCTCATCCGAAAGACAGCGCTCACTGAGCAGTATGGAGTCCCCCGTCACTATACTGGGGCATTAAGACCCACACAGACTGCAGTTTGAGCGCCCCAGGCTGGCCTCACTAACACCACTTCCAGCAGCAACCTAGTTTTCCTATGTGGTCTCCCATCCAGGTACTGACCGGGATGTGTCAGAGAGCTGTTGCAGAGAGCTAGCTATACCATATGGTTATTATATTTAGTAAACATTCTGTTAGCAGATTTATACAGTTGAAATTACTGTCATTGTCAGTCATTAGTGTCATTTTTTCACTAGCAAATAATATCTTGTTAATAGCAAATGATAATACTTTTTTTATTTTTGGCTTATTGTTTGTTAATACACATTCGGCATATCATTTAACATAGTTGGTTTTTTCAAGAATTATGTTTGTACTATTTTCAATGCACAGTTGTCATCACAAATCATCACACTTGTTTTATAGAAATGACTTAATTGCTGAAACATACTAAGGTCAGATTTCAACTGTTGAGGTCATAAAACCGAAATCAGCATCTTCCTCTGAAAGTCATTCATTCACTGAGTCACTGTGACTGATGCCAGATTTCTAATCAGACAGCCTTTCCATGCTTGTTATGAAACTGAATCATGCTCATTCACTATGTTATACTAACTATTATAAGCCAAAACAAATAAAAAAAAGTTTGTTTCTACTCACCAATAACACCAGCAGTAGTCGTTGTATATTTCCAGTGCTGTATGTAGTGTGCTCACGCTCAGTTTGCTTGTTAAAATCTGACAGATTTCACAGGGAGGCAAGAAGATATAGAATCTGCTGTGACTACGCCCTTATCACAATAAAACTGTACACGTGTGTATGTGTGTGTGTATGTGTGTGTGTGTATTCATGATCATCTTTCTGGTTACTCATCCCCTGTATTAAGATAGGTGTGTGTGTGATTATGTGTCAGACAGTTACAGCGGAGAATGGAGAGAGACAAAATGGGTGTGAAACACATCAAGGAGGAGTCGGAGGCAAAAAAACAGCCAAAAACCAGGCATGTTTACTTGGCAACAGTGTAATCAAATGTAGCATTTTTGAAATTGCATGCTTCAAAAGAGAACTTAGATGATTTACATACATACATAATAGTTTCAAATGTACGCACTTCTTGCTTTATGCAAGCACAATAGAGGTTAAATCACTCCACTTTACAGGTTTTACCGTATTATACCCTGAAAAGAAATCTGTTATTTTATATCTTTTTTTCGGCAGATGGGGTGCCGGAAAAAAAAAGTTAAATAACAGACGTTAAATTACAGACATTTTCTTGAATTAAAATTTTCAGTAAATTTCGGTAATTTAAGGTCTGTTATTTTACAGTAAATTTTTGTCATTTAACATCTGGTATTTTACAGTAAATGTTTGTGTTTTCTTTACATTTAATTGGGTTAACATAAGATTATTCGTTTTCAGGGGTGAACTGCTTTGTAACAAATCTTTTTAAAATGTGCCAACTGAACTTTTTTTTGTCTGCAGAACTGAATGCCTGAAGTTGAGTGGAAAAC